TGCATTAATTAATCTTTTGGATTAAATGGAATCGGGCAAAGTCATGGAGTGTATGATGAGTGAATTTTTATTAGCCAATGTCTGTACGATAAAAAACTCTTTAAGGATCAACCACTAAACCATAACATGGGCAGGGGGGAAATCGAGTTAGTTGGAGGCCCTATATAACTGACTCTTGGGAATATAAATGTGATTGTCCCTGAATGACATGGAAAATTTAGACCAGCAAAGTATGGAGAAACCTTTAATTGGGTGAATATTTCATTCAAGCGTACAAGCACTGAGCTAAGAAATTCTGACTCTATTGACCTATTATTATAATAGTCAAATGGAACATTTATTGTAGACTTGCATATTATTATCTGATAAAACCATCTAGTCCTATCTGTTCATCAAAAAACATAGTAGGGTATAAAAATAATAACAAATGTATGTTTATTTATGACAGGGTAAGAATAAGATAAGCAGTCAGGCGGTGCATTACTCATTCCACCCTCGAAGAATTTGTCCTAGAATTCTGACTATAATATTATATGAAATCTCTATGAGCGAAAACGGCGTCTAAAAGACTCGTTCTTGGTGTTTTTAATATAAGACTGTAGAATCTAATGTGTAAATAACTATCCAGGCGGTGATTAACTCATTCTGTCCAAGTCGTATTTGTCCTATAAAATATCTATTTCGCTTCAAGGTTAGACGAATCAAGATAATATCGACTGGTAGAATCGAGTTAAATATAGAATAGCTGAAACGGGAGAGTATATAGTTGAAATTATGTCAAAATAGCTGATATACTATACATACCTCATTATCACGATTATTCCAACATTGATAATCCGTTAATCCAGTTAGTTCAAGCATGAGACATGATACAGAGGCTGAAACACTATAGAAATGAGTAGGAGAGGCTGTATCGTGGATGTGAACAGTCTAACTATATGATTGGTTTGATAAAGTCTGGCTGAGTTGAATTATTGGTCTGACGGTACACTTGTATTCTATCACGATAAAACACGACTAGCTTTACCCTACACTACAGCTGTAAATGCTCTCTTGGGTTCTATCGATAGAATTGTGTCAGAGAATGCTTACTAGTATGGTGTTACATTGCCAAACAAGGGTCACCTTATATGCCTATTGTATTGTATTCTAGCTTGCGTCTTCTCTCCAGTTCGAAATGTTCTATAGGGTTATATAGATAGAATGTGTCAGAGAATGCTTACCAGTATGCTGTTAAGTGTAGTGCAAGTGTGACCCTATATGCTTACTGGTCCGAAGGTACAGTTGTATTTACAGCGCTGAAACACGACTGGCCTTGTCCTTACCCTTCTCTTTAGCTCGAAATGCAAAGGCCATCGGGGCTCGAATGGCCTCCCCTCAATGAAATCCTCGCTACGCCACTGAAGGAAATCTCTTTACACCCTTTTAACTTCATTATTTTGTAGGCCCAGGGTAGGTTTTTTTCTGATACGGTGGATGAAACGTGTCATGTTTGATTTGAGACAGGAAACTATATATTTATATGGAAATTAGTTGCCTATCAAATTTCTAGTAAAAATGATAAACTAACTGTAATTTGTCAATCATCAGAGGGAATTATATCCTGCTGAAATGAGTTGCGGTATATCCCGCTGAAATGAGTTGTAGGAGATCCTGCTGAAATGAGTTGCGGTATATCCCGCTGAAATGAGTTGTAGGAGATCCTGCTGAAATGAGTTGTAAAAGATCCTGCTGAAATGAGTTGTAGGCCTAGGCTATATCCTGCTGAAATGAGTTGTAGGCCTAGGCTATATCCTGCTGAAATGAGTTGTAGGCCTAGGCTATATCCTGCTGAAATGAGTTGTAGGCCTAGGCTATATCCTGCTGAAATGAGTTGTAGGCCTAGGCTATATCCTGCTGAAATGAGTTTCACATCCAACTTTTCATTGAACATTCCTTGATTAATGAAATGATGGGTCGTATTTTTCTGTATCTTATTGGGCTGCAATTTTCCAATAAGAAACAGAGACGTCTGACTGGTTGTTTCAGTCTTCCCCCTCCCCTCATCAATTTCTGACAAATAACTGAGATTTTACTGGGTATCATAACCTAACATATGGATTCTTTTCGGGTGTCTCTTCTACCCCGAACTACTGTGGTATTTTGATGCTGAAAATTCATATTCCCCACCCCTGGCTGTATACGTCATGATCTGATCTTAGATTTATAAATAATAGAGTGTATTGATATCGTGTTAATGTTGATTAAATCCCCACCCAAGGGACAGAGCATCTCCGATTCGTCACGTGATTCCTAGTTTTAATTAGTTAATTAGCTTAAATAATTAATATGGTATCTTTATCACATCACGTGATCTAACTTCATTACATTTTGTATATCATCACATCACAAGATCAAATTTCATAGGTGCACTTGAAGCTGGTCCGTGGACAAATCTGATGCATTTTTAATGCGTGCGTTTGATAATAAAAGCCACTAGCCACTAACATTCAGAAGGACATGATTGTTTCGTTTCTCGTAATTTGTCGCCTATATTGAAATATTTATGTTTGATCCAGTTTATGATCCATCTTTTGTACCAATGGTGAAATAATATCTTTAGTGGACTCTTTTTTACGGACTTCACTTTGGAAAAGTGGGCAGACATGCCAATTTTGGATATTGTCATATATAGTAAGGGCAAAAGACGTGTAATGAACGGAATCATACCAACTACATTGCTAATCGCAACTTTTTGCCCCAAAATATCACCACATCACCAAATCAATTCTGTTTTTCCAAGACTGAAGAACCCATATAAACTATGAAGTCATCTGGAGTAAGGGATGAAACTCTATATAAAATTGTATATATCAGACTACAACTCTTACTTTTTCAAATTCTTTATGTAAATACAGTGTCGGCGAAACATTAGAAGGCGCTAATGAACTTTTCACATGGGGAAATATATCAATCATAACTGAGTAAGTATTTTATAATGAAAAATGAAATCAGGTGTCTAGAAGAGTAAGTAGACCCTGTCTGGCGCCACAAACCATCAACAACTTGTCTGATGGCATAGCCAAATTTTGTAAGCTCAGCTCAGTGTTGCCTTTCAACCTCTCACTTTCAGGAGGCGCCGACTTCTTATTTATATTCCATGGGAGAGACAATTAGGCTGATTAGATTTAAATAATTTATTTACAATATCCATAACTTATACAGGCAGAAATAATAGAAGTTGTACATGAATAATAAATGTCACTGTATATATTCCAAGGATGAAATAATGTTGTAAGCTCTCTGAAAGGAATATTCATTTGACAAACCATTCAGAGAGATATCAGGTGTTCTGGTGGGAAACCAAGGAATGATATATTTGCTTAGTCAGTGCAATTCCAAAGAAAGACTTTGTAAACTCAATGGCAGAGAGACATCAGATGTCTAGAAGAATTAGCATATCCTGACTTACATCCAACATCTGCATAGATTATGTATCACATAAAAAACAATACCATCAGGACAATTTTGTTATTCAAAATCTCAGCCAAATTATGACAAAATCTAAATAAATTGGTAGAAAATAGAATTGTCATATATTAATCAATACATAAATAAAATAAATGTAAAATTCCACACTTTTTTACAATCAGAATAATATAAAACAACAATAAAAGGGTTATTTGATTGAAATGCAGATCAAGATGTTTCATTTCATGCTTTTTCTGTTATGGACTCCACTTGCAGTTCATGATATGACGAAATTGTCAAGCAACACATGTTCTTGGTTATCAAAATTTTCAACCAATCTTATTCATTAACTTCATGTATGTAATTCTGGAATATTTATTGTAACCATTGACTTGCTTAAAGATCAAATTCTTCAGATCCAAGATGACAATACAACTAGCTCTGTATTTCAATTAGATGGATAAAAAGGCACGATAGATACTTCACAACAGTCAATCGATACAATAACAAGGTAGATGAAATAACAAATTTCTAAAAACTAAAAAAAAATAATTTTCGAATGATATAGTTGCCTAAAAATTTGCTTTACAGTCAGAAAAGCTCAATTTCAGCTATTTGTGACACTTTTAAAAATTCAATGGTTTATGGTTCATCTGAAATTTAATAAATAAGCTGACGTTACGACAAAGTTGCAACTGTATATGCTTCCGGTCAAATGTTAATATCTCATTGTGGATTAACCAGATGTCAGAATTTAAAACTGATGATAAAGGTAGCTGAAACTTTGGTCTATTATGCAGATTACAAGTTTGACTACAAATTTTAGGGAGAAATGACTTTAAGAGACTTTGGGAACAAACAGAGATATATTATTATGACATTTTATTGTCAACAAGAAAAGCAAATATTTAGACAACTGTATCCCTTTAGATTCAGCTTTATATCCTTCTATAGAAAGACATTAGATGTAGTTACAGCAAGAAGGCACAGTAGATAGTTACAAAGATATTCCTGCACACCCAGAGATGTTTTCAAATATAAACTATAAACAAGAACAGATGACACAAATACTAAATGAAACTATACAATCCAATTTATCTGTAAGTTCCTGATGAAGATATTGTGTCAGAAACATATCAGCAACATACAAAGCCGCAAATCAAATTATAATCATGTGGAGTCTATACAATAGACATGTATATATGTTTGATTTGTATGGGATGTACATGGATATCTTTGTCCTACTATAAATCACAACACTTTGACAAGGTACTGGTACAAAAAAATATTAAATAAAATAAATTTTGATTAAACACGAAGGTGTAATATGCAGAGTTCAAAATATAAAAAATATGTAAAAATAGTTGTAATTCTATTTTTGAGACAATTTTTGAAAGAATGAAAATCACAGTTTAATAAATTTTGATGTTATGAAAGAACTTTAAAAATGAAAAGGCAGCACATGAAAAAAAATGTAAAAAATACACATTTAAGACCAAGAGAAAAAATACAAGTTACAAAACTGTCCTGAAAAACAATCAAAATATTGGTCCACCTCCAGATCCACCTGTGAACCAATTGGTGCTTCTCTGTGTCGCTACCACATTGTGACCTTGACTAACGCCCATCTGAGCAGCATTTGGCACAACTCCTGGTGGTGCAGGCTGAAACAGAACATTTAGATTATTGATTTGGTGTAGTTATAGACGTAGGAACATGGATACTGATACCCTGTTGCTTTTAACGTTTCTCTAACAATGCAGACAAAACAGGTATAAATCTTTCATTCTGAGAAGCAGCCAAATGGCTTGAAATGAGTCCTATCTGCTGCAAATAAAGGTATTAAAAAGAGGTTGTCTAAATTTCGATTTACACCATTCAAATTTTTGAAACAGTATCTATATGTAAATTATATTTATGAAGATTAGAAAACTGCTTTACAATCCCTTTAAATCATTAATCTATTGTAATACTTACAGGAACAACAGGAGCTGCCCCTGCATTAAATCTGGCACCAGCATCAAACCCACCCACAGCTACCACAGTATGGGGAGCTGGCCCTGTGAGATAGGACATGGGTTGGGCAGGGTAACTATAGTTGGTAGGGTAAGCAGCTGCACCCGAGGGGTAATGTGTACCTTGGGATTGTGGGGGGTAAGGACTTGCATTATACTGAGTCTGAAAAATGAAAAAAATGTATGAAATATATAATTCTAGAAAAAACAATGAAGCAAGGATGAACATGTATCACAAATAAATATCTCTCTAAAGATAGTACCTTTCAGTCCTCAATGAAAAGCTGATGGTAGTCAGGGGATCGGATGCAGTGGTTTCAAATCTCCCTAAAGGTGTGGCACATGACTGACTTGAATCTTGAATAAAATCTCACGTGTACCCATGCAAGATAATCGTGTTGCCAACAGGATTTATAACATCAATAAAGTTTGATAAAATCTCCAATAGTTTTATCGTCTGCAAGACACACCATCATCATCCAGTCAGATTCCTTTTCCTTTCAATTGCATGCTCTGCATGTGATTAGCGACAAGCCGGAAAATGACTGATTCAAGATTTTTGTATACTCATGTGCCCGTAACAGTCGTTGAAACTCAAGACGAGACTCTAATCAGTGACAAAAGTCTGCGACCAAGATCGCTCTGGCACCTTTAGATAAGTAGCACAAGGCAATAGCAAAGCGTTAAGTTATATGTACCTGATTATAAGAAGAATGCTGAGGGTAGGGTGTTTGTTGATACTGCCCCTGATGTGAATGGGCTGGTTGTTGGGGCTCTGGGAACTTGGAATATGGGGGTGGAGGTTCACCATAAATTGGAGGTGCACTAGGAGCCTGTTGAACTAAAATGCAGATATTACCAGTAATCAATTACTTGAGGTTTTCTAAGTTTTTTATGATTATCGACACTGGTCTAGCATCAATATGCACCATTCCAATTTTCAACCAGACACTTGTGGTTTCTGCAATTCCACTCAAAGTGTTTGATGACGTCACTAATCACAAAATATGCATTTTCCAATAAGACCCTTCACAATTAGTGACATCATCAAACTCTTGGTTTTAGTGGAATTGCAGGAATCAAGGATGTGAAAATAGGATTGGTGCAAATTGATATGAATGTCCTGATACATTTAAAAAATTTAGAAAACCTCTTTACAATCCCTTTCATTTACACAAGCTCTTAATCTGACACATGTTCAAAACAAGAAGTAATGTTGTCCAAAATCAAAGTTAACAAACTCAGTATATATATACAGTATAGGACCAAGAAATCTTCAACCTGAATATTGAATATTCCATAGCCAGCTGTACAAACATCGTCAAATTGTATGTAATTGTAAAGAGCTCATTTTGTGCTGTTAACACCAGTAAGGACATGAAAATTGTTGCAGTTTTCTGTGGTCAGAATAATTTTAGGGCTTAGATTGATTTAAATATACTTACTGTAACTGGAACTGGAAGAGTAAGCATACCCTGCCCCAGCTTGCTGTTGATATTTCTGGTCCCCATATTGACTATGCTGTGGACTAGGGTAGCTTACCGGTTCACTTGGAACATCTGCATATTGTTGTTTAGGGTAGGGAGATTGAGCTGGCTTTTCTAAAGAAATAAATAAAAGAAATCCAATAGACATGTAAAACAGAGACTATTGTTACCCATTGTAGCTAATATGGGCATCAACATTAACTTATTTCTTATTAAAAGCTATGACGAATTGGAGATTTGTATAACCATTCAATGCAAATCTTGGAAAGAAAAGCAGGCAAAATTGATTTAGTGAAAGAAAAACAAAGATTGTGCTGACGGCTATGTCAGAGTTTACCAAATAATGAATATCAAATTGTCATATGGTTAGGGATGCTTTGGCTTCAGGAGTTCAGGTACATATTATCCCAGACAACTGTTACTGTCCACTAACTCACCAACTGAGCTTGTTCATAGTCACCTTATAATATGAAGCCATCACATATTGAATGTAGCATGAGTTAGATAAATAAAAATCCGTTTCCTTTTCTAGGAAAGGTCTATCAAGATATGGAATGATGTTCAAAAAAAAATTTATACTGTGACAGACATCAAAAATCTTGTGATTGTATTGGCTTGAAAACAATGTAAAAACAACATAAACTTACTTTTCTTAAACATACTGATTAAAAGTTAAAAACTTTGAAAATATGTTAGTTCTGTTTGTTGTTATGTCCTCATAATCTTAAAATAGTAACATCAAGTCATGTGATTGCTTTATTGACAGTAAATATTGAACGGTGTTTCGGTATTTCATATCCTCGTAGAAAATATCCATTTTCTAAGACGCTGAATTTCATGGTAGATTTCTCTTCTGAACAATTAAAATTCTCCTAAAAACATTTCGGAAAATGCATTTATTTCTGTGAAAAATGGTATGCTTTTCGAATTATGAAATTCAATAGCTGAAATATTACAACGTTGATCATACCTCTTTCGGCATGAGATTAGCATCTTTCGCGATTGGCATCATATTAATGGTTGAACAGTGTCGTCTATCAGTGAAATTTACCTTTCACTTAAAATTGTAAAAAGTGCGTTAAATAGAGGCAGTTTTTATGAAAGTGCGTTTTTTATGCTTCAAATCCACAGTGGAATTTTATTTCTTACTGGAGGTTAAAATTGGTGGGATAAAATATCTTCTTCACCGTTTTTAAGGGAAGTAACTCTTGTTTCTCTTAAAATAAAAATTTGTTCATTGTAATTTTCTGTCAAAAACTCTAATCTGACAATTCCTTAAGCCTGTGAGCTTTACAGGAGCGAATTATTTGGAAGTTTAAAGGTATTTTCTTTTCAAATTTACCATTTTCCTAACGTTGAATATTTTCATGTGGTACAAATCTTCTTTTGTAATTTTGACTCAAGTGAATCGTCGCAATATGGCCGCCATTTGTATTTTTGTGAAATCCTTTCCCTTTCTTCTTGTTCTCTAATCCGTTAATTGGATCAATGAGTCGGCGTAAGATCAAAGAAATTAATTATGCTAGAATGTCAATTTTTATGATGCAGTTCTTTAACCTCTGCATTTAGATCATGGGTTGTTTTTTTATTAAAAAACTGTTTTGACTTTTTTAATATTTTTTCTTTGGTAGATCATTTGTATTAAGGCTTAGTGGTTTTATTTGAAAAAAAAGACTCATTTTTGTTAAATGTTATTCCAATTTAACCAATCACTTATTAGTTGCCACACTTTAATTTTCAAGAAAACTTGATCTTGTCTGGTCTATTTTGTTGAAATTTTTTTGCTGCATTTTTAGTTGAGTTATTTCCTGTGCTAAAGTTTAAGACAGCTTTAACCGACTGACTTAAATTTAAAACTAGAAGGAAACTTATTGAGATGAGCCTACGATTCAGTCACTTTTGCAAAGAAAATGTCAAGGCTCAGGATTATCAGATCAGATGTGCTTCACTATATCACAGCTTGCTTAGTATCTTTCATTAGCATGTGAGAATATGATTTGTATAAATGATGTTGTAACATTTTCATCCTTTTACTTTCAACATGTTTAAACTGTTTTCTTGTCAGTGAAACTGTAAAGGATTTTGCTTCTTGATTAATAGTAAAGGTATGTTATTATTATTTTATTTTAGTTTCCATACATTTCAGACTGAGAATGGAGTAGAGTCAGGGGAAACAATTGCGATTTTTCTGTCTCTTAATTACACCCAGCCAATCAGAAGTTCAACGGCTGTTCCTAACCCTTCTCCCTTTACATATCAACATGGCCGGTCCATCTTCTCGCGGTCAAAATCCACACGGAGTACGACAGATTGAACTAGATCAGATATGGGATGATTTGAGATCAGGAATTGAACATGTTTATCAAAGACAATACATGAATAAACCTCGATATATAGCACTTTATACGTATCCTTTTTATAAGTTTTAATTTTGTGTCTCATTTTATTTTCTTTTTTGAAAGGAAATACATTTTTTTTTGCAGATGGAAATTATTAAATATTTTTTTTATACTACTTTTCTTCTCAAGCTTTTTAAGAATTTGAGGCAAATTAGGTTATTGCCAGATTTAACTAGAATTCTGCATTATCACCCCCAAGACGTAAATTTAAAAAAATTAGCATAACTGTATATTTTGGTTCAAAAGAAAAGTATGCATATGGTTTAGCAAAGTAAAACAGAAATATTGTATTCAATATATCACTAAAACTATTCCCAAAGAATTCTTTAACTGTTTGTCAGACATGTCTATAATTATTGCACCAGTGTTCACGGACAGGGTCAAGGCCAAGGTTCGCAAGTTCAAGGTCGTGGCACCGGAGGTCGGAAACCTAAACCACCTGCAGGAGGAGCTCAATTTGTGGGTCATGAACTTTATAAAAGATTAAAAGAATATTTAAAAACATATCTTGTTAAACTCTTAAAGGTTGGTAAACTATTGTACTGGTATATAGGCACAGCTTTATGGAACAACAATCACTGGTTAAAGTTTTATGCAACGTTTCGACGTGTTTCCCCCGTTGTCCTCAGGCACATAATGAGAAGAAGTGATGGGCAAACTATATATACATTAATGCTTATTATTAAGAACACACAAGAGATAAATGGTTTATTGATACATTACATTAAATTTTAACAGGTACAATAAGAGGTATATAATTCTTAAAATAACATACAGGTTGATTAAGTAAAATAATTGAAGTAAAGTAAATGAATTAAAAAAGATTAATTGAAGATTAAATAAACAACTATTGCTGGTATTGGAGTCTTTTATTAATAGAAATTACATTGTTCATATAACTAATGCTTAAAGTTGGAAATTGTTTTTGAATATGAATAATTACAAGTTGATAAGTTTATCATATGCATGCGATAAACGAACACCTTCATCTCTGTTAAGGTCAGGCTGATATCTTCTGATGTGGATAGCTTCATGAAGTCTCCTGGTTTTATCTATGTGCTTATTGATTGTCAGTATGTTGGTGTTGTCAAAGTTGACTTTATGTCCTGTTTTCCTTCCCATAGCAAGATGTTCAGCCACAGCAGATGTTCCTTCATTGCCGGCTTGTCTTGATGGTCTTTGAGTCGAACATCAAGGGGTCTCTTTGTTTCCCCTATATAAGAGCTTCCACAGGAGCACTCAACTTGGTAGACACATCCCTTAGGTTTTTGGTTGTTGGAGGGATTCAATTTACCTGTTGAAGTATTCTGGGTCACAAATCCTTTTTGCTCTTCTGACCAGCGCTGTGATGGCTGCCCTTTTGACATGTTGAGGGGTGTTGGAATGGTAGTTCACATACTGATCTGTATGTGTAGGTTTCCTATACACGCATGTCTTCAACTGACCGCCTAACCGCTTAATTCTCACATCCAGAAAGGGTATAGAGTTATCTTCTTCTGCTTCCATGGTGAAATTGATCCTCTTATGCTGAGCATTAAGATGCTGAAGTAGAGCTGATGGGTCATCTTCAGCTCTAAGCATGACAAAGGTGTCATCAACTTTCCGGAACCAGCAGATTGGTGAGATCGGAGAGGTTTCCATGGTCTTTTCCTCAAAGGCTGTCATATAGATTTCAGTAATCAATGGTGACAAGGGGCTTCCCATAGGTAGACCGTGGATTTGTTCATAGATCTCATCTCCCCATGTGAAGTAGGTAGAGGACATACACATCTGAATGAGATCGACGATGCTGTCTGTAGTAAGTGTAGTATCTAGTGGGGTCTCTAATTTAGATATCTTATCTCTTATGATACTCAACACATCTTTACATGGGACATTGGTGAATAAGTCGACAACATCATATGAGTACATCTTCCCTGTGATCTGCAGTTCTTTCAATTTGGTGACAAATTCTTCTGAGTCTTTAATGAATGAGTTAGCTGTTTTCCCCAAAGGTGCCATTTATCTCTTGTGTGTTCTTAATAATAAGCCTTAATGTATACATAGTTTGCCCATCACTTCTTCTCATTATGTGCCTGAGGACGACGGGGGAAACACGTCGAAACGTTGCATAAAACTTTAACCAGTGATTGTTGTTCCATAAAGCTGTGCCTATATATCGTACTCACAATTGCTAAATGCCATTCAAAGACTTTATTGTACTGGTAGTACACATTCTTTAGAAATGATTTTGTCATCCTCATATTGTTCTTTGGGAACTGGGGATTCTGTTTCATGCCTACTCCTTAGATTGCAATAGATTAGGTAAAACAGTACTTGTCTGTAATTATTTGAGCACTATTTGAAATTATAACTGCAATTGAAAATGATTTGATAGGCAAAAAAAAAAACCCTAATTTTACTAATGAGCTCTTCCATTATACATGAAAGTGGCATATTGATAAAAAAGTATGCATGTGTGGAATAGTTCAACTGAAGATTTAGGGGTGTCTATAGATGACTAGCACACTATAACCAACCATGATATCCTTCAATAACAGATTCAAACTTTTAGAAATCCAGGCCCTAAATTATTATTTTAATGAGAGGTTCTCTGCATCCTTTATACTCTGGATTGTATCTGTCTATTACAGGATGGTCAGGACTTACTAGATGAACAGGTTCTACAGTTTTACACCAGGCAGTGGGAAGATTATCAATTCTCTAGTAAAGTTTTAAATGGTATTTGTGCCTATCTCAACCGACACTGGGTTCGTAGAGAATGTGATGAGGGAACGAAAGGAATCCATGAAGTTTATTCTGTAAGCTTCATACTTTTATAAAATAACAGTGCGTACCTAGTCTCATTGCTGTTGTCTCAATCTTTAGATTGTTAAGATAACTGCAGGGTAGTGTCATTTTCTGCTTAATCTCAATGCTTAGAGCATTGCCAAGTCACTATTTATTTTAATTTAAGTTGAGCTCTATTCAGGATTTTCACTAATCTTGGCAAATGAAACAATACACATGTTAATGGGCATTCAATCTTTTTCCACTAATTATGTAGCAGGTCATGATTCAATCTTCTATCTTTTCCTCCATTCATTTTGTTTTTGAGGGAGCTTCTCTTCTTTAGTGTTCATATTTGTACCTTGATGTCAGAATTGTTTTTTTTTTCAAGAAAAATTTGAGAAAGTGAACAACTGATACAAAGCTGACATGACTGGTAAATGCCACCAAAACATCAGCCCTGATTTGATTATATTTTATATTTTCAGCTGGCTCTAATTACGTGGAGAGACAATTTATTCCGACCTTTAAATAAACAGGTCACAAACGCTGTGTTAAAATTGATAGAACGTGAACGCCACGGTGAGACAGTGAACACTCGTTTAATCAGTGGTGTTATAAACTGTTATGGTAAGTCACAAGTTGGCACTTTGTATGAGATCAATTCATTTCATGGTTAAAGACAAGACTTAATTCTTCGCATTTAGATTTTCACACTTGTTATGAACTTTGAAAAAAAAATACTTGCAATGAAGGCCCTGATAACTTTCATCTGAAATAAACCCCATTGGACTTTACAGGATGGCCATTTGATTAAAATATATAGTGTGTCTAAGAATTTTCTCTCCAACTGATTGTTTTTCAGAATGAAAATTTCTTTACTTTCACCCTCTACTAGCCCCACCCTATAACACTGTAATATGTGTTTATTTATTACTTTTCAGTTGAACTAGGTCTGAATGAAGATGACTCAAGTGCGAAAGGCCCCACCCTGTCTGTATATAAGGAACATTTTGAAACATCGTTTTTAGAAGACACAGATCAGTTTTATATCAAAGAAAGTACAGAATTTTTACAGCAAAACCCAGTCACTGAATATATGAAAAAGGTACGTTGACTTGAATAATGTGAAATCATGGGCACCAAATATCTTAGGTTTGTCCTCAGAAGGATACAGTATATCTGTTCTTGGGTATTTTTATTGTCATGAATTGTTTACATGCCCCATTATTATCAAGATTTATGTAGATCCATTAACAGATGGAAATTCAAAAAGAATAGTCTTTCGCAAAAACTGACCCTGATTGTGCACTGCATGGCATTGACTGTCTACATTAGTAAAATCAGAAACAAAGTATTTGGTTGAAAAACTCATTTCATTTTCTATTTTCTATTTTCTATTTTCTATTTTCTATTTTCTATTTTCTATTTTCTAGGGTGAAACACGATTAAAAGAAGAATTTAAACGAGTCCAACTCTACCTTCATGAATCTACACAAGATGTCTTAGCAAAAGTTTGTGAAAAGGTTTTAATTGAAAAACATCTGGAAATCTTTCACTATGAATTTCAAAATCTGTTAGATGCTGATAAGAATGATGGTAGGTGTCTTTGAACTGTCAAGGATGAGGGAAGGAATGGTAGGGTTGGGAATTTTTTTTATGTTTTACTTTTTCTATATCAAGACTGAAAGAAAAGAAGAGTGAAATAAAAGGATCAAGGCACACTTTTTCTGACCTTGCCCCTGACCATACATACTACAGAAAAAACACTTTAGCATTGACGATGTCAGCCTAAATTCAATATGCCAGAATTCTGTGGAGGCGTCTTGTTGCAATCCTCTCATGGAGGGTCTGAAAGAGTTCTCCCAAGAATATTTTGAAAAAGTTGAATTTATTTGGTGCATTTTGACACATATTTAGGGGCCAATTTGTATACAAATCATATTTTTTAAATTTGCTAAAAATGAAGTGGGAGTATGCAAACTATTTTTCTGGGATTGAGATTTTCTCAAGGTACAGAAGCAGGTTACAAGGTTAAAAGTATCAGTAGTTGTGGGTAGTCAAGTTATTTTTGATTGGGGGAAAGTTACCAAATTGCATACCCACAGGTCAAAACTGTAAGAGTGGAATACTAAGGCTTTCATAGAGACAAAAGAACTTTTAACATTGGGGTGCTTATGATCAACAGGACCATTATGTGTTTCTATCAGTATTATTTAAGGCTGGTGTGTGTTATTTGTTCTATGTGTTTATTTACAGATCTGGGTAGAATGTACCAACTAGTGTCTAGAATACAGGACGGTCTGGGTGAATTAAAGTCTCTGTTAGAGACCCATATATTTAACCAGGGACAAACTGCCATAGATAGATGTGGTGAAGCTGCTTTAAATGTAAGTCGTGTTAGTTTTTAAGCCAAGTTATAGCTGCTAATTGCAATATATCATAAATAATACTTGATATACACAAGGTTAGAAAAATTAATCTTTAAATTGTCAGAAATCATGTTGTTTGTAAAATGTTCAGCTAGAGGTCTAGGAGAAAAAAATATCCCAAATACAAATCTTTAAAAAATATGATCAATATTTAAAAGTTGAATATATATAGATTGTTTTACTTTACAGGATCCAAAGATCTACGTACAAACTGTTTTAGACGTCCATAAAAAATACCATGCTCTAGTGATGACAGCTTTCAACAATGATTCAGGTTTTGTGGCAGCTCTAGATAAGGTAAGCCATAGTTGTGATTAAATGTTCATTGTATTGTAAGTGAACTCATTGAAGATTGCATAGGAATCAAAGTGAGTCTGCGCTGAAACATGTTTCAAGAGTTTCGTTCGAAACATGTCTGCTATTCTTACTCTCAATCATACACAACTGCTATTCTTACTCTCAATCATACACAACTGGTGTGAGGGATCCGTTTATATTTAACTCTTGGAGATAAGAGATATGGGTATTTCTGTTTAAGGGTTATACATCGAAAATAACTCCAAACCTTTGTTAACTGAGATTTTATGCAATAACAGTAATGATGGAAAGTGTTCATATGTTATTCTATTTTCTGTTTCTCATTTTTCAGGCATGTGGTAGATTTATTAACAATAATTCTGTGACAAAATTAGCTCAAGCCTCGAGTAAATCTCCCGAATTACTAGCTCGCTACTGTGATCTTCTCCTGAAAAAGAGTTCTAAAAATCCTGAAGAGGCTGAGTTAGAAGATACTCTAAATCAAGTGGTAAATTCAAGTTTCTTTCTTTCTTTTCATTCAATCAATCAATCAATCAATCAATCAATCAATCAATCAATCAATCAATCAATCAATCAATCAATCAATCAATCAATCAATCAATCATGTAACAAAATATCAGTTACATTATTTATTTCTATATTTCATGCATTCATACACGTTTTTAGACGTTCAATAGTTTCTCCATGTATTCATTCTATTATCTATATTATTCCATTCAATCATTCTGTCATTAATTTTATCTATCTAATTTCAGATGATAATGTTTAAATATATAGAAGATAAAGATGTATTCCAGAAGTTTTACAGTAAAATGTTAGGGAAACGTTTGGTTCAGCATATGTCAGCTAGTGATGATGCTGAGGCCAGTATGATCTCAAAATTAAAGGTATAGAAATCCCTTTTCCTTCATTTCCATTTGTATATGACCTTTGTTTACCTGAAAATGTGCCAAAAATTTATAACCATGTAACCATATTGTGTATTTTAATGACAGTGTAGAGATTCATTGATCAAGCATATTCAATTTATTTACAGCAAGCATGTGGGTTTGAGTACACTTCTAAACTACAGAGAATGTTCCAAGATATTGGAGTTAGTAAAGATTTAAACGAACAGTTTAAAAAACACCTACAGGGGGATTCTCTAGACAGTAAGTTTTGTTTATTGATCAATCAGATAGTGAGAATGCTAGTATCATAGTTTAGTCTTAAAGGAGCTCTTATTTTCTAAAATGTTGATAGTTGTTTTTAACCTACATCAAATATAGGTCTCATGATCACAAATTGTCCCCATTGCCGACCACATGGCTATGAGTTCATTAACCCATTTGTAGCGAGAAACAAACAAATTGGACATAAAACCACTTATGGTTAAGTGAGTTTAAATTCTAGACAATTTTCTTTTTTTTTGCATTGCTGTTGTGCTGTGTCTGCATCAATGCTGCCAAAGAAGTGAGACAGAAACTAAGTAATTGATTTCTATTACAGTTGATTTCAGTATGCAGGTATTAAGTTCTGGTTCCTGGCCATTTCAACAATCATGTACATTTAACTTGCCAGTAGAGGTGAGTGGTATTTCTAATGTTTTTCTTCACCCTGTCTTTATGATTATGACATCATTGATAATAACTCTATATGAGAATTTTTAAGGGATATGATTGTCTAAAATTACTTTATCTGCTGATAGAGTTTAATTCAGCTGTTCATATTACTTTTCAAATCCTGCACCCAGTTGTCCTACAATGCAATAAAAACATATCAGTTTAGACTGTCACTTCCAGGACGTTATTAGCAGTCTCCAGTATTGCCTTTGTCATCTGCCATATCACTCAATGACAATGTTAACAGCCTAAATACTTAAAATGTTTTCACTGCCATAGTCAAGGCGTGCATAGTACTTCAATTTTTGATATGTCAAAAATCTGTGACCCAAACGATAATGTTGCTTTCTTTGATTTCAGTTGGAACGAAGTTTTCAAAGGTTTACCACATTCTATAGTGCTCAACACAGTGGACGTAAACTAAACTGGTTATACCACATGTGTAAAGGAGAGTTGGTTACAAACTGTTTTAAAAACAGATACACTCTACAGGTAGGACAAAAACGGCCATTTGGATGGGTTGAGGATTGGTCATGGATGACAAGAAGTATTGTTGGCATGTAAGAGAGAGGGGGTTGCTTGTGGTAAAGCTTATCTGGTTTTACTGTGTGTAAACTAAGGACAAACAGTTTTAAAAACAGATTCACTCGTAGGGCTTCTTAGGCTGAATCTTAAGGGACAGTTTTGATGAGTGGCTGAAGAAATTTTACATTGTATAAAAGTAGAAACCTGGTTATAACTATTCATTTGACGTAACCAAGCACTCCAAGATTGAAAGAGCTTTAAACAACTGAATGTTAGTGCTCCATTTAACTAAACCATACCAACTAAGCAATAACTAAAACTCTAATAGACACAGCTACAACTTTTCCTCAATACTGTTTCTTTATATTTCAGTCCTCTACATTTCAAATGGCAGTTTTATTGCAGTATAATTTAATGGATAATTTTACTATACAGCAACTATTTGAAAATACGCAAATTAAAATGGTGGGTTACTTTATTTAAAAAATCATAGATATGTGTGATTCAGATTGGACAATTAATTTAGGCTCCTTTTTACTGCAGGTTTTATATTTCTCATCATCTAGAACTGAAAAAGAGTAGGCAAATGTCAATGTTGTAGCAAAATTTAAACTACTGCAGGCTGCATCCTTTTGGCAGCTCAATCACAAGCAGATAAGGAGGGTATCCAAATTCCATTTCATTTCACCAAGTATAAAGCCATTTTGGAAAATATTACAAGTTGTTGTGGGCCCTCTTTCTTCTCATATATTAAAATAAATTTCAAAATTTGCGATGAATGAGAAACAACCAGGTTGTTGAGATAGTTCCAGATGTTGTCCAGTAGTCTTCTTACTGCCAATTAGTACTGATTCTAATTTTGTAATTTTGTTTTGTAGGAATTGTTAACTCAAGTTTTACAGATCTTACTAAAGTCTAAATTATTAGTTACCAAGGAAGCAGAAACTGAATTAACCCCTCAAACTGTTGTCTCATTGTTTACCATGTATAAAAAGTAGGTATTTTATTTCCATTATTTCAACTTATTATCAGAGTCTGAAATGATACACTAATACATCAATAAACTGATCAATAAATTCTGTTCACAAAAAGCAGCTGGATTTACCAACTACTCTGGAAATCGTAATTATTGCCCCATCATTGGTGCTTCAGTGAATACAATCATGATGTGAAATAAATGGTTATAAAGCCATTATTCTAGTTCATCTAGTTAATAAGAGAAGTCTCAATGCTGACAGTTAATTTTTGTAAATTTTGCAGTAAAAAATTACGTGTAAATATTAATGTGCCATTGAAAACTGAAGTGAAAGCTGAACAGGAAATCACACATAAACATATAGAGGAAGATAGAAAGCTACTTATTCAGGTATTAAAGGCAATTTTAACTTTTTCTATGCTTGTTGTACTTACCGTTAACATTTCATATCTTTTGTACTTACCTTTAACATTTCATATTTTTTGTACTTACCTTTAACATTTCATATTTTTTGTACTTACCTTTAACATTTCATATTTTTTGTACTTACCGTTAACATTTCATATCTTTTGTACTTAACTTTACCATTTCATGTCTCTTATACTTACCTTTAACATTTCATGTCTTTTGTACTTACCTTTAACATTTCATGTCTTTTGTACTTACCTTTAACATTTCATGTCTTTTGTACTTACCTTTAACATTTCATGTCTTTTGTACTTACCTTTAACATTTCATGTCTTTTGTACTTACCTTTAACATTTCATATTTTTTGTACTTACCTTTAACATTTCATATTTTTTGTACTTACCTTTAACATTTCATATTTTTTGTACTTACCTTTAACATTTCATATTTTTTGTACTTACCTTTAACATTTCATGTCTCTTGTACTTACCTTTAACATTTCATGTCTTTGGTACTTACCTTTAACATTTCATGTCTTTTGTACTTACCTTTAACATTTCATGACTGTGGATTTTTTTTTTAATATTCCAAGCTGACTTCATATTACTTATATTACAGGCTGCTATTGTTAGAATAATGAAGATGAGAAAACAGCTAAAACACCAGAATTTATTAGCAGAAGTTTTAAATCAATTATCAGCACGTTTTAAACCTCGAGTTCCAGTTATTAAGGTAATTGATTTCATGATGAATTTTCAGAATAATTTTGATTTCTTGGATCTTAAGTGCTAATGCACCACACCTCTTTTGGTTTCAGTTTACAGATTATAAATAATCACTTTCTATCGTCATGAAAGAAAATTAATTGATTATGGGTCCATTCTTTAAATAAAAATGCTATTGGTGTCATGCCAAATATATTGCTGTATTATTTATTGTTCTTATTTAGAAACAAAGATAGTAAAAAAAACCATAACTTTCTTTCCTCATTCTTGGAGCTTGTTTGTCAACAATTTGAGAGTCCACATATCTAATAATATTTATTGTTTTTATTACAGAAATGTATAGATATTTTAATAGAGAAGGAATATTTAGAGAGAGTGGAAGGGCAGAAGGATACATACAGTTATCTGGCTTAATTTATTATCAGCTTTAACATCATCTAAATTAGTCCTTTAGATGTTTCATTTAAAATCACTCATTGGATTTGAATTGGATGCACAAAATGGGAATGTGATTTGTTACTGTCACATGATTCCAATTGGTCATGTCAGTTCAATAGGTCATGGGATTCTAATAGGTCATGTTATTCAAATTGGTCATATAAGTTCAATAGGCCATATGATTGGGTCATGTGATTCTAATTAGTCAAATATCAAATTATTTATAAGATTTAAAATTGGCCAAAGGACTTAGATTGGTCATTTGATTCAAATTGGTCATGTATTTGATTGAAAATTGGTCATGTGACCTCAACTTGGTCTTGAGATTTTAAATTAGTCATTAGATTTAAAATTGGTCATGTGATTTAAAGTTGGTCATGTGATTTTGATTGGATCTCCAATTATGACACCAATTGAAGAATATGTCAATTTGATTGTTCCTTAGTGATCTCATATTTGTTATATTCTCTTGATAAAGTCCAGTTTGAAATGGGTCTTGTTCACATTTGGTATAAGAACATACCGATTTGAGAATCTAGGTTTCACTAATTAAATCTTAAAGTCCTTACACATTGTATGATATCTTATTTATTACTCGGTTATTGACTCTAAACATCTTCTACAATCTGATCTTACTTGGCTGGATTAAGCCAAATCAAAATGTCTGCTAGAATTTCTTGTCGATTCTTATCATGAGTTACTGTTTGTCCTTCTGGCATGTTCTCAGAGAATTCACATAGCTTATAGATCTCAAATTTTAACTATATAATACCACAAGGATTTGCTTAAGAATGATATATCTTGCCTTCTTTCTTGCATTTCATGGGAATTTTCCTCCAGTCGATTTTAACACAACAATATTCAATTCAGCAAGTATTTACTTGGGTGGTTTCAGCAGTTTCAAATACAAGTTATTAACAGGGTTGGAACTATTTTTTATCGTGTATGTATAAAATGCTATGGTTGTAAATAAAACTTATGTACAGTGTTAACATGTGTATCAATGTTTTGACTGTTTTTTTTTTGAGAATTTTTCTAAAATAATTTGATGATGTATTGTAGATATTGAAAATTATAAAAAATAAATAAATATTGTTTTCACTGGCAGAGTTAATGTCCCTTTAATACATGGGCCCTGAGACCATGGCTTGAGATTTTTCTCAATATGACATTTTGCAAGTGGCCATATGGATATGAGTGAACACATGGAAAAAAAATCTGAGTAAAGATGAAAATCTTTTGAATAAAATGCTGCACACAAACTTTATTAAAACCAAGCCACTTTAAATGCATTTTCAGAGTATCTTGAGTCGACAATACATCAATAATTGTCAAATTCCAACTTATTCAAGATATTTTGGATGAAACACTGAACACCAAATGTCATAAGTAAACTACAGCATCCAAATGCATGTTACGAATAAAAACTGTCTATAGCGTTCATAAGCCTTGAGTGGATGGATGGACGAACAGGGGTGACAGCAATTTATGGCCACAGTGGAGAGTGGGCGTATAAAAGTGACCTGGTTATAAGTGGACCTGTATTACAAGAACGACCTTCATTTTCTAAAATTAGGCTTGGGGGTGGGTAGTTACAAATTTGGTCTTTCAAATTATGTAACAGTTATGCATAGACCCGTTTTGATGTTTTATGTCTGTTATCTATCTAGATCTATTCAAATTCAACATGTTTTTGGCAGCTCCCTCTTTTAAAGATAACTTGCCTAAACTTGATTTTCTCTGAAAATGATGACAGATTCGAACGTATCATACATTTTATTCTGTATTACAAAATTTCATACCAAGTTTGGTATATACGCATTGATTCGAACGCGACATAACCTAACGATTATACACTTCAAGGGAGGTAAACATTAGTCAAGGTTATAAATTTAATTATAACAAGACAAATATGCACTTTGAATGAAATTTTTGGTGAGAAAGACGAACCTTAACTTTTGTTTTACTCATTTCCAGCACAATATTATCAATTAATAGAATATTTCGAATGAAATGGACTAAACTTTAAATTAGGTCAAATAATTTCGCAGCTTACTCTAAGGGAAGTAACTCTTGCCTACACATTCTTGAACTATCGGGTATCCATTGACGTAACAATCAAAATGTATCTAGAATATACACTATGAGAAGAATTCTTGGAAGGTTCCTGGTGAGGCAGACGAAATCTGGATACTAACATTAACTCTGACCTATCTAAAACAGTCGTTTGATCATGTAAGAACTTCTTATGAAATTTATCAGACGTTTATCATGTTATATGAAATCTCAATTTTCCTTAACTAAATTATCGGTAATCGAGTTTTCATGTTCTAAATCGATTGTCGCAATCAGTAGGACATAATCGATCGACAACCGATTATTTGCGACAATCGGCCCATCACTACCCTAAACTAACCCATTCCATAGGATTCCAACTTCACTCAACCAAAGATATATTCCAATGCACATTTTTTAAACAAACTCTTCAAGATTCCATTTTTCTACCCTGGGATGGCTTTTGTTACCCTTTTTTATTCACTAAAACAAACTTTTCGACTTTAGTCGAGTTGATTACTGTAAATGTACATAATAATTAATCTAACAATATCCATTGCTCATCGAGGCGACCTTCTCTTTGTAGACGATAGATTCTTGATCTATGGGAGCTCTAATTGATCCGTAATTGTATGTATGAACCTGGTGTGAATCAAATGTGGATCCAATATTGTAATCAACTGGATTCTGCCTCGATTGTCTGTGTAGACTTGATTAAACAATACTCCATCAGTAATGTAAACAATACTTGTATCTCTGCACTTATATTGGAACACTGGTAGGAAACAAGTATCGTTTGAAACTATTAGCTGCAGGTAAATGCAGAAAGCAAAATCATTCAGACAGGGCCAAGGAGTAGTAAATGAAAAGTTTCCAATTTTTGTGTTGATCTGTTAGCTTAGTAAGAACACATTAGGACTCGAATACTTCAAAGAAAAATTTGACGATGCCTTCCTCAGAAAAGTTCGAAAATCTTGAACTATGAAACCATAATCTTGAATCCGATGTGGATTCCGTAATGTCATGTTTCCAAAAATGTTAGCCGGCGTATCTTCGTCGATTTCAGTAAAAGAATGAGTATAAATATGAAAGAGTCTGAAAAATATGTCAAAAGTTCTCTAAATCCTGGTCTCGGCACCAAAAAAAAAAAAAACAAAAAACAAAAAAAACAAGATACAATATTTAAAATACAAAAAAAAAATCTAGGTATACTTTTTAAAACTGCAAATACCAATGTAATATCAAATTGAATCACAAACTGATTGTCCTCTGTTCTTAAATTGGTGTATACAAGATAGTAGCTGGAAGTAAGACGTGTATATCTTCTTACCATGTTTTTAAACGGTGAATTTATTTAGCCTAATGCCAAGATACCGAACATGGCATATGATGAATTATTTTGACCTATCTTCTCATCCCCTGGTTACGATATCAAGTTCTGAGCCTAAACTCTTGAGTTAATCAGATCCCATGGCTGGTTTGTTGTGTGACGAGAAAGGCGAAACTGGGAATCCTAATACGTAAATGCCTTGGCTCCATAGGCACATGTCACAGGAGGAATAATGGACATCCAAACTCGGTGGCCTATTATCAACTAAACTTGATAAAGATGAACGAGTCTGAACAATCTGTCGAAAGTTCTCTAAATCCTGGTCACGGCACCAAAAAAAAAAAAAAAAAAAAAAAACAAGATCCAATATTTAAAATACAAAAAAAAATCTACTCAAACCTTTTATAACTGCAAATACCAATGTAATATTAAATTGAATCACAAACTGATTGTCCTCTGTTCTTAAATTGGTGTATACAAGATACAAGCTGGAAGTAACACTTCTATATCTTCTCACCCCCTGGTTACGACATCAAGTGAAACTAACCTACACTTCTTCAAACTATTATCTGCAATATTGTATTTAATAGATTAACATGCCACCCATCCTTTTGTTGAAAACCAGCTGTTTCTTATGCTTGAACGTCTTGGTAAAATAAGTTATCATTATATGAGAACTATATAGAGTCGTAGCTCTGAGCCAAAACTCTTGAGTTAATCTGATCCCATCTCGGTGGCCTATTATCAACTAAACTTGATAAAGATGAAAGAGTCTGAACAATCTGCCGAAAGTTGCCTGACCAATCTGCCGAAAGTTGCCTAAATCCTGGTCACGGCACTAAAATAAAAAAAAAACACAAGATACAATATTTAAAATACAAAAAAAAAAAATCTAGGTATACTTTTTAAAACTGCAAATACCAATGTAATATCAACTTGAATCACAAACTGATTGTCCTCTGTTCTTAAATTGGTGTATACAAGATACAAGCTGGAAGTAAGACGTGTATAGTTACGACATTAGGTGAAACTAACGTACACTTCTTCAAACTATAATCTGTAATATTGTATTTAATATATTAACATGTCACCCATCCTTTTGTTGAAAACCAGCTGTTTCTTATGCTTTAACGTCTTGGTAAAATAAGTTATCATTATATGAGAACTATATAGAGTCGTAGCTCTGAGCCAAAACTCTTGAGTTAATCTGATCCCATGACTGGTTTGTTGTGTGACGAGAAAGGCGAAACTGGGAATCATAATACGTAAATGCCTTGGCTCCATAGGCACATGTCACAGGAGGAATAATGGACATCCAAACTCGGTGGCCTACTAATCCTCTATCCACCAACTTCTTAATGGGTATGTCTGTGAAACGGTCTTCTGTCGTAGTCTGGTATTTCTCTTGATTTACAAGTATCTTTAGAAGTGGATGGTTAGTTTCGATCTTTTTCCAATAAAAATCAGCTAAACTTGATACAGATGAAAGAGTCACCAAAAAAAAAAAGATACAGTATTGATAATACAAAAAAAAAAAAAAAAAAAAAAAAAAAAAAAATCTAGGTATACTTTCTAAAACTGCAAATACCAATGTAATATCAACTTGAATCACAAACTGATTGTCCTCTGTTCTTAAATTGGTGTATACAAGATAGTAGTTGAAAATAAGACATATATCTTCTTACCATGTTTTTAAACGGTGAATTTATTTAGCCTAATGCCAAGATACCGAATATGGCATAATAATATAATCCTGTCTCATCCTTCTTCCAAAAAATTGATATATTATTAACAATAAACGAAATACGTATACATTCTAACTAGTTATCTGAGAGTGTCAGAGCCCTCCTTATTCTAATCATATTTTTGGTTGTTGGTTGTAATGTGCTAAAACAGATATAAAATCATGATAATATCTAACTCCTGTTGAAAATAAAATCAAATCATTATTAAAACTAAAACGTTTTAATCCAAACGTTGAGCCAAGAATTTCAAGTCTCTCCGTGATTTTTTTATGTGTGATCTTCTAGAGATGGAACATCATAATCATGGTCACTGCATGACTGGTTGTGTTAAACATGTTTAATCTCCATTATTTTTTCTGTAATAAAGGTTTTAATTTATAAAATTATAAACAGTGCAAATGAGATGTGATTCAAGCATAAATCAGGATATTTCAAAACAGCCCTATTCTCTTTTACATACGCGGTTGTTTGTGTTGTTTAGAGTGGATGCGTAGTAAATCCACTAGGATTTGATGGCATCTTCAACCCACTAATCACAGATACTTCATTCCATTTTCCTCATTCATATCAATGATCAAGCCTACAAAATATATGACAGATGTTTTCCCTGATATTAAATCAATAATAATCTCTACCCTTTAAAATTATTTTCTATCAAAGATGAACCCTGGTCGTCAAAAACATCTAAAGAATCAGATTCTTAAGCAATTAGCTGCTTCTCCTCATCGCTTGGTTCAGCCAAAGGTTGTGGTTAAGGACAATTTGTCATAGATGTGTCATTGGCATTCCCATACTCGTTTTTTTAATTCATAAATATATTTTTCTCTAAGAAGGCAACAAAATAAGCCAACTCATCACAAAACTCCCTTTCCTTTAGCAACGGTATGATGATTATTTACAATTCTATATTCTTGTCGCTTTGACTGATAACCTCCCTTGGAGACCATTCGATTATCTAATCAGGAATCTCGTCATATTTGGAGTTAAAGGTCGTTGATTGAAAATGACGGCCTTCATTGAATCAACGGAAACTGTCGCAGATATGCACCAACTCGATCAGTGATCGATGTGAAACTTGACAGAAAGGTACTTGCACGTGCCCTTAATATTTATCGAAAATTTCAGAATATTTTTAAGCTATTTTCAAAATATAGGTGGGATTTTTCCCGGTAACGACGAAATGAGAGGGGGCATAACTCATTTGTGTAGTCGAACTTTCATTGTCAAGTCATTGATTTGGAATAAATGTAAATATTATTCGAGGAGGCGTCTGAAAACAATCAAAACTGTTGGGATCTACCATTTTGTCTTAGTACAAAGACAGAAATATTGAATAAAGTGACAACATTCTCCCCATCATGAACAATTATCGTAACCAATTGTTCATAATAACTTCTAAATTGGAGGGCTTAGAGCACAAAGGGTGTAAGTCCGTTTTTCCACTTTCGAGCTATGTGATAAAAACTGAATATTCATTATCTGAGGTCGCATCATTGTGGTACATGTTTGTACGAAATATAGTATAACCCAGTGCTGAAAATAGTATATACTGATGATCTTACACCCATAAACTATGGGAAAACGATAAAAACATTTTCTGTTTGTAGTGAAAGGACGTAATTCATATCGTGTACTACAAAAATTGCGGACTGAGCGTGCAAAGGACACAATTCGTTTGCATGAATTGTGCCTTTTGCTCTTAAACAATATAACGCAAGTGTGTTTTTATTATTTAAAATTTATTTTAAGGAAGAACGTTCAAAATCTTGAATTATAACAAACATACCAGAGAACATGAGCAAAGAAACAAACAATATAGCAAACAAACAAACCAAGAAATTCCTGAGTCACTAGTAGCCCCGTTTACATTGTCAGTATTCATCCGGTCTCGGCCCGGTTCGAGCCTGGCCCGGCAAAAAATTGCGTAATGTAAACGGGTAAAGTGGGCTCGGCACCGTGCTAGTTTTAAGTGGGCTGAGACCCTTTACAAGAGGTAGGCTCGGCCGAGTTCGGTTGACTTGAACGTACAGTGTAAACGCGCTACTGGGCCTGGCAAGCTTTATAACGCTAAGTGCGCATGTGTGTGTGTAGTTTTCCGCTTCCGACAACAACACGTTCTTATAATCTTGTAATACACAACTTTCCTTCGAACAAGATACTGCCGTAAACGGACTCTCCTATTTTGACTCTGGTAATCTAAATAACACATTATCACTCGTTGGTGTTGTAACTGATGGGGCATCTTTTCCCCCAAAATAACAAACAGAAAAGCATTTGGACTATGGGTGGCGCCATTTTGTTACAGTGAATGCAACGGGCTCGGCCCACTTCGACGCCTCAAGTGTAAACGGCACGCGCGAAAGGGTCCGGCCCGGTAGTAATGTAAACGGGGATCCTGAGTCAAATACTATGAAGACAAGAATGTTAGTCATATTCCATATCGCTGTCAGGTTCAGAATCACGACTGATATTCGGAACATTTCCTAAGTGCGCCAGTTCTTTATAGTATGCTCGCTTATCTTCTGGCAGGAATTCACAAATTTTTTGAAGATCGTCCCACTTTCCTTTTTTCAATGGCATTTTGTTACTATCACACTTTTGGGTGAAGTTGCCGTGCTGTAGCACATTCCGTTTCTTGGTTGGGACCTGAAAAAAGTTGAAACTTGTTGATCAAACATGCTTAACAGTAGTTCTCTTTCCCTGAGATTCAATGTAAGGAAATCTATCTGACTTTCCCAGACTCGTCGTCGTAGAGAGCAGCAGTCTGGGTGTCAGAGACTACCATAGGCCATACAACTTACCTTTGTTCAAGGTTCCTTCTTATCGAGTGTCTTTCTCATCCAGACTTCTCCGGGACGGTCTACAGTCACAGCGTCTGGCCCGGCAGTGCCCCATACTAACTCTTGACTTTGGCCGTAAGAGAACCACCGATATTCGGATATCAATACTTTATCATTTTCAATATCCCTCAAAGCAGCCTTTCTGGTATCTTTACAGAGTTTTTTCATATCAAAAACCATCTTCTGTTCGTTCTTAATTTTACTAAAGCGACCTTTTCCCCTTACTGAATCACGAATCAACTGCTCATATTCACTTGGTAGATGAACTTCTTTTATTTGTTCTGCTTCATCAATCTTCGCAAAATCAGTGTCATTCGGTAGTCTGGTGTGCCCTCTTAGATGTATTTTGTGATCGTTCTGATCAAACAATTTTTTATCCGGATCGTCAGTGAGCGTTTGGAACATTGTCATCACATCACGGTTTCTATTTTGACCCCCACATCGGTCCGTATAGAATATGCAATATTTTTGTCCCAGTCTTGGTTTCCGTTACTGCATTGTATACCTCAGATGCTACCTCAGACCCTTCTTTCTTCATTTCTACCTCTGGGTAGTAGTACATCAGGCTTTTTGTTCGGACACAGTCATGGACACTAAATATGTAAATACAGAGTAGTTTGATAGTAGATGTCATTGTGCCTCAGGTTTGGCATGAGAAAATTCTTCTTATAGTCAAAGGTATACATATCAGTCGCATCCTGTGAACATGGATCTTGTGGACTGACGCGCACTCTCTTTGTCCATCGCCCTCTTCTCATAACCAGCATCCCCTTGATCGATATGCAGGTCGTATTGCTTTGGAACTTCATCAGCTGTTCGCCCTAATATATTCTAAATTTGGACTACAATTGAGCGAGGTGTCGAGGAGCAGGGACAATTACATCACAGGACAAACATTCTAACATGACAGCCCTCTTTGGACACATGAATGACAAACTATTGCCTCATACCTGTACTGCATTGACTGCTGTGTAGACTATCTTGTGTATCATGAATAGTAGAAAAACCGACTTGGTTCCTTTGTGCTCTAGGCCCTTCATTAATAATACTATCAATATTTGACTACAAATTTGTAAGTAATTCAATATATAATAAAACGAAAAAGAACATGCATGTACATTAAAATTATAACTTTATATAGTAGTATTATTCTCTACTTAACATAAACAATTGCAATACAATTCTAAACTATGATTATTATCAGTGATTACATATATTAGAATCAAAAGCTTCTAGTAAACAAAGTTTGTTAATGGGACGCCTGTAGGTTCCGTTTTCTGTTCTGACATCGAATGTCCATTTGACCCAGGGTAAACGATTATTACTAGACCTAATGGCCAGAGATTTCTTGGTGCAGTATCATCTACAACTAAAACCAAATTGTTTATCTTAAAATTATATATTGGCTTATGCCATTTTTGCCTTTCATGTTTGTCGGAATATGTTTTTTCAACCATCGTTTCCAGTAATGGTTGGATAGGATTTGAACCCGTCTCCATCTCTTTCGACTACATCTATCATTATCATGTACTATTTCTGACGGTAATAACATTGATAGCCTTAAGTCCAAAAAACGATTTGAGGTAAGTGCTTCTAGACCATTAGTACTTAGTGGATTTTTGGTCAAATATATTAATTCATAGTTTTCCTGTACAGTTTTTCATATTCTTTATCTCGGGAAAATTTCTTCTTTACGGTTTTGTACCTTTTCTCGGCTTCAAAACGATTGTCAGACATTTTAATGTAATGACTAGACCACAGTAGACCTGTTTCGTAGTGTCCATCTCCTCTCAATGTTGTTGTATCTCTATTGCGATGCTTAGTGCAATGTTTGTCACAATACTAAATTACGTGTGGTGATTTACTAGGGATAACGATGTAAATTGTTTATACTGTTTTTTTAATCTCCTGGACCTAAATACTGATGTTGCTATGCACATTCTTTTAGTCTGAATTCACCTATTAAAAGTCCAAACTCTTTGCCTACATCAATGTCGGAGAATAATATTTTGCCAGTAATATTAACATTACAAGACACAATGGTTAGCGTTCAGCTCTGTTGACACGACTTTTGACTTACTATGTTGAGATCCACCTCTTAATTTATTAAATAACATTGCCTTAAGTCGAGGAATAAACAATAAAAAGGGATGTTCAGTCCATCCGTCGTATTTCACGTTACCATTTTACCTACAAGAACTTTCCAATTTTAATGTTCGACAGATTGTTGGCAAGAAGAACATTATTGCCACATTTCTGTATAAAATTTCAAAACAAGATAAGGCATATTCATACACTCAAACTTTACCTACAATATTATCAATTTCTTGGCCCCAATTAATCAAAACAATCCAAAATTGCAAAAAGCCATGGGCGAATTAGAACTGTCTAATTTACACCCTTTTGTAAGAAAATCCGTTTCGTCCTCAGGTACATAGGATATTTTATCTCCTCGACGCTTGTTATCCTCACCATTTTCTTTGTCATAATTTTTTAAGATTGTTAAGATATATCAGAAGGTCAAACGTGTTATTGACACTGTAAAATTAAAATAATACAAATTAATTGGTGTCATGAGTGAACTCATTTAGACCAAGTTCAAGAGTTCAATATGCTGATAAATAACTATTAAAAAAGTAAATTTAATGTTTGTAACATATTGAACTGAATTAATTCCTTTTGATCGGGGTCATTCAATATTTTATATATATGATTGACCACCAAGATAATTCAACACTTGTTTCATTAAAAATATTAATTGATTTTCTCAAATGAGTATAAATATGAGTTCCACAGTTCCAGTTATTTTCCATCTTACACCTCGTATGTATATTTGAATTTTAACTAACTAATTAAGGAGAACAAAATTAATAAAGAAGTTGGTATATGTAAAGAAGTCTTCTCATATATACGCTAGCTCGAACGCTAGAATCCAGCACACACAATTTCTCGTAATCCTTTGTAACCTTGTTACCAATATATGTTGAGGTTTCTTTCAACAGGTAACATAGCACATTTAGCCGAAAACATCTTGTGGTACTCAAAAAATTTCACTTCGCCAAATGTAAGCGGTCTCGATAATGTAACCGGTGCAATCGTCCAATTCTTCAGACCTGGTGGGAAAAGCTGAACACATAATACGTTTGTAACGCCCAAATGCCACACTAAACTCATCCAAGTTTAAGTCTTCAGACAGCCTTTTATCCTTTTCTGAGAGAATATGTAATTTGAATTTAATAGCAAGTTAAGACGTCTTTACCTGCAAGAATGTTAATTTCTGGAGAAACCAGATCGATGGTTTTAATTGTAGCAGGATTGGCCCCATATTGTTTATCATATTGAATATCATTAACGACAGCAATCTGTCTTGGTAAGAAAGAGCAATTAGCCGAAGCAGAAGTTATCTCCAGAACAGTAATATTAGGTTGTAAAAAGGTACCTTTGACAGTCACCGTAGTTAAACCGGTAGCACTGCTGCTTACTGATGTAGGGTTGGTGTTGGAGCATGAAGAAGTGATAGGACAAAGACTCCCAACCTCTTCTTCATTAATACGCTGGGTCCGACGGTTCTTCAATCAATTTTCCACAGGAAGCATATAAATAATTGAGCTGCGGCTCAGCAAAAACGTGGCGGAAAGAAAGATTCGGGACGAAGCCGCAGTAGGTCTGATTGTCGTAAAATCACAATGTTAAGTATAAACAACAATTATTTACATAGTTTTCAAAACTGTTTATCTCTTTCGTTCAATCCAATCTCAAGTTTTCTGTCAGTTGCTGTTTCTCTCTTCTTATGCACTCTTGATTCAGTAGCCAGTATGATCATGTCCATGGGTTCAACCCCTTGAATAAAACATGTATGGGTAGCCATCCTCAGGATTATAGGTATATACGCAAATTGGGATGCCTACTAATTTAGTACTAATTTTATGGAATTGACAGTAAAACTATGTCTTGCTATAATTCCATGTTGTATTATTACACTACACTTACCAAATCTGTGTCACAGTATATATTATACTGTTTCCTAAGACATTCTGGGATTGTTCTTCCTGTAGTGAAGACTAACAGTAAAAGTATTATTTTTAATCTGTAATAATAAATGTTATAAACATTATATTCTTCTATATTTATAGACCAACACTGCAAGTTTACCCAAGACAGACCCCAGTTTCACCACAGCATAAGTACACTCTGTCGGATCCCCTGTGAAGAATAATTTTTGCTTACCAACTCCTACATCGTCACTGAGACTCAAGCATTGCCAATATTCATATTAATTAGGAGAGCGGTACACACACGGACAGATTTGCCCAGATTTTACAAGACCAAGTATATACTTACCTTATGTTCAATTAAACCTTCACTGTGAATTGGTTTGAAGAATGGAATCGACAAGCAGATATCGTCCCGGAAGATACCATCCTTACTGTCTGGGAAACGGCAGAGAATAATAGCCAGTATGCATTCACCGCCTGATATGGTTCGGGGGCTGGATGCCATATCATTTCCCAAGAGTTGGAGGAACTTCATGGTGTTACCCAGAATGGTGTCAGACTTCTTTAAGAGTTTTTAAAGCTTGAACGTTCCGATGCTCAATATCTATCTGAATATTTAAGTGAAACAAGAAATTCAAAAGAGTGAAAACTTACCTTGTGGACTCAAAATAATAAACACTTTCACGTCTGTTACAGAATCTTTTCCTCGTGTTAAGATTTTTGTTGAAAATGAATCTGATAAGCCTATATACGTAAATCCTGGTAAAATTGGTGCTATGGTGTGAGCTGTTGCATTAATTTGATACCCCACTTTCAGACTTCAAACAAGACATTAGTTTTTCTAAACCCAAAGAAATGTGAATTTTTTCAGTCATCTGTCAAACACCTTGGTTTCGTCGTATCAGAGGAAAGAATACAACCAGACCCTGAAAAAATCAGTGCCTTGACTACATAGCAAAAGCCTGTAACTTAACGTGACCTTAGAACCTTCCTTGGTTTTACATTGTGGAAACAGGAAAAGTCGGTAAATTATGGCAGCCGAAAGATGGAGCTCGTGTATGCCAGTAGACATTTCATCACATTTTTCATGCTTAGAGTTCCTACTTTCACCATGTACCAGTAACTGCTTACTATTTAAATGGATGGAAATATTAACAACTCAAAAAGAATTTGAATCTCCTAATTCTGAGTTGAAATTTAAATATTGTTATTATTTCAGCCTAGTAGTATAGTCCCCAGTATTTTCAGATCATCTGGGATACCCTCGACTTAGTTTAACAAAACTGAATCAGTGACAGACCAAAAGTGACCTGTTACTAAAAGTAGAGAGATGGCGTGCCTAGAAACAGGACCTCAACCTTTATGGGGCCTGAAGCAATGTTAAAGAGCCACTTCTATTGGATATTTCAAATATTGTTATTAATGGTAAGCATGGCTTGTATGATATTGTATAATTTCCAAATAACTTTTGTTCAAAATTCCACAACTGGTCATATGAGCATTAATCAGATGTGGTGCTAAGATGTATACATATGACATAGTTTGTTTGAATGAGATACAATAAACAATAACAAAATACAATACGGTGTATATTTATTTCAGGTACAGGTATATATTAATACACCACACATTATTATTTAAACACTATATTAAAACTATATTAAAACTATAATGATACATGATACATGAGTTAAATCGTGATAACTGTCTAAAGAGGCATATTCAATAGCATAGCTGATCTGCCCCATAACTTCTAGTCAACTTGCCACACCTGTTAGATTTTTCGGAAGCAGTTTAGCAAGTGGTTCACTCCACCTTCCCAATACACCTCCTTCTTGACCGGTCATTCAGTAAGCACCGACTACAATCATATCCAACACAGTTTCAAGATTCACTTCATCCAGAAACTTCACCTTTCAGACACCAAATATGCTAGATCTTCATCCTTGGATTTAAAATTCTGCTGTTGCGTTATTAGTTAATTATTCATATATAGTTATAAACCGATAATCTTATAGTAACGGTTCAAGCGTTTAACCTAGTCGGATCGTTCAGTTATGAATAAAAGAGTTTCGAGAATAAAGTGTCGTGACAATTTTGAACGACATCAATAACTGGGAATCTCAATGCAGCATCAACCGCCATCTTGGAATCATTGCGCTTCACAATATCTGGAATGCTTCTCTGTAATTCTAACTGTAGTCTTTGGGCCTCGATAGCACCGATTATATCCAATCTTACAGCACTGGAAATAACAGATTTCAAAGTGGATGATAGGAAAGCAATTTGTGTAGTTTTTAGATCTATTCCGAGTTTGGAATATATGATCCCAAATACCACTGGATAATGATGATGGTCTAAAGATTGATAAAGACGAAGCAACTCTTCATTTAGGTGAACTTTGGTGACCGTGTCTGAGAATGACTTCCCCTGTTTACGAGAAGCTCTGTTAGCCACATGATTTGATGTAGAGGCGTTAAAGAATTCATCTAGATCTTTCACATTTTGTACATCTTTTCTGAAGGCTTCATTTACAAATGGTAGACTAAATGATCCAGTATTCTCCAAATGAGTCTGGATAATTTTGCCAAGATCAGTTTTCGACTTGATTACCTTATGTTGAAGAGCTGATTCTAGTCCTGCACTGTGAGAAAATCCACCAGTTGGAAAAGAAGAGTCAGTAAGTTGTAATAGACTAAGCATATCCATTACGGTTGACTGGTTTTAAGCTAACTTTAAACAAAACAGATAAGTTTGACCTCAATCAGTAGTAACCAAGACGATAAGCTTCATAGAATTGTGATCACTGAATAATTTAGACACGAGTTATGTCCCTTGGCGTCATTATCAAAAAGATGACCTAATTAAAAATTTGTACCTAAAATTGTTTGGTAAATCGTAATCTGAGTTTAATTTTGACAAGTTACCAACAGTTTTTGGTATCGCAAGAAGATTTCCTTTATTTTCGGCTTTATTCACCTTTCAGGACTCTAGCAAATATTTTAAGGATTGGTTGTCTCCCTTGAAAAATAGTTTGACCCAACTACAGGTAGCAAAGCGTACATTAGGGATTCGAATTTAACATACTTGACTAACTAACAGGTTAATAATTGTATACATAATCAGAAATCAGATATACTCTATGCTAAATCAAGGTAGAAAATTATATATAGACTCAAATCAGATATACTTTGACCTAATTAGGACCCTAGATGTAACTTAGTGAAATAAAGCTTGTAGTTAATGATTCGAATAAACGAGATATGGTGTCTACCTGGTGTTTTAAGTTACTTAACGGCGTTTAGTTTTTGCTTTGAAAACATGCGAGAAAAATGGTAGAGAAATGGGGTGGAATGTACAGTACTTCTATTCCGTCTCTAGTGCAGACGGGCAACGTCCTGCTGTATATATGCAGTAAGAGAAAGTTTAGACGGTTTTGTCATGCCGGCTAACGTGGTGTTTCTACGCGGTCAGCATGATCCCCCCGTTGCAAATTTGACTGATCCGGCGTTAGTAACACAAGTCAGTATTTAGTGATGATAATTTTTTTATTAAGCAATTGAATTAAACAATTGCATTAAAAAATGGAAATGTGTGATGTTAAAAGAATTCATTTTCTTCTGGTATCGAATCCCCCGCGTCCTCTTCCAAAGAATTGATTACCACCAAAAAATGGATTTCCTCCAAAACCAGGAGCACCACCTAAAAATCCAGGAGCACCTCATAAAATCCGTCATCTCTTTCAAACCCATCAGCTGAAAAATAAAGCGAAGGTCAGTTTGAAATTGAAAGTTACTACTCCACATTAATCTTATAAATCATGTCATGCAGTGTAGAACTATTTCATTAAAACACTGGTTGAAATATTCTAATAATAATTTTTTTTCTTTGGAGATATAACCCACTGTGAAATCCGAATCAAGGCGAATTAATACAACCCTCTGTAAGGACATGTGGCTGGTATCGCTAGCGAGAACACCTTGTACCAACTCGGCCCTCTTGTGACTAAATGTAGCTAGAACATTTACTGACTGATACTTGCAAGCTTGTGTCGAGGCAATTATTACAGCCATCAGAAATAAACTCACATTGGAAACCATTTTACAAGATTACTGATTTCTGAAATGTAAAATTTAGTATCTAAAATTGTGACTCGGGTCTTAAAAACACTGACCGTGGAGAAGGAAATATTTCTTGTCACGTGGCATGCATGTTCCTTTAAAGAAACAGTAAAAGAGAAAACATGTTGATGCCACTAGTGACCAGACTAAGATCTCAGTTGGACACAAAGCTGGTAATGTATATTGAATCTGTTTTATAATGGGATTGTTCATATGACTCCAAATAATCAAAAGTCAAAGACTTTTCTTTCGCAATATTGAACGCCTTGAAGATAGTGAAAGTCGCCATGTACACTTTTGTGCCAAGAAAGTTAGATTTTGGTGTGTCTTTATAGACGAGAGTCTTTACTTCTGGCATTAAATGCTTGTTTTGTGTTAAATGCATTCAATTGTACTTCTGGAATATGAAATGTTTAAAGCGCATCATCACCTCCATAATGTTAGATTCTGAAATGAAATGTATTAAAGCGCATCATCTTCACATGGTAAGTGTATGAATGAAATGTATCAACCAGTGTCAGTACCTCAACAAGTAAGTATATGAAATTAAATGTATTAATGAGCGTCTCCACAAGGTAAGTATATAGAATTAAATGTATCAACCAGTGTCAGTACCTCAACAAGTAAGTATATGAAATTAAATGTAATAATGAGTGCCAGCATCTCCATAAGGTAAGTATTTAAAATTAAATGTATCAACCAGTGTCAGCACCTCCACAAGGTAAGTATATGAATGAAATGAATAGAGTTTTACGTCCTACTTGTCTGCACCATGTGACAAATAAAGACGGGCAACGCCATCCAGGGTGCAATAAGGACAGCGGAATTAGCCAACTGTCGAGGGATCTTTAACGTGTACAGCCTGTAGCACACTGGGCCTCCGAACGACTAAATATGTGAATGAAATGTATGAATGAGCGTTAGCACCTTCAGGGTATAGTGTACGAAATGAAATGTATGAACGAGCTTCACAAGGTAAGTGTACGAAATGAAATGTATCAACGAGCTTCACAAGGTAAGTGTTCAAAATGAAATGTATCAACGAGCGTCAGCACCTTCACAAGGTAAGTGTAAGAAATGAAATGATTCAACGAGGGTCAGCTCAGCACCTTCACAAGGTAAGTGTAAGAAATGAAATGATTCAACGAGGGTCAGCTCAGCAACATCACAAGGTTAGTGTACGAAATGAAATGTATCAACGAGGGTCAGCTCAGCACCTTCACAAGGTTAGTGTACGAAATGAAATGTATCAACGAGGGTCAGCTCAGCACCTTCACAAGGTAGGTGTTAGAAATGAAATGATTCAACGAGGGTCAGCTCAGCACCTTCACAAGGTAAGTGTACGAACTGAAATGTATCAACGAGGGTCAGCTCAGCACCTTTACAAAGTAAGTGTACGAAATGAAATGAATCAACGAGCGTCGCCATGCAGGTTGCCATGCAGGTTGCCATGAGGGAAATTTTGCCAGGACAGCGGCATTAGCCTGCTCTTTTTCGATTTCCAACTGTCGAGGGATCTTTAACGTGCACAGCCTGTAGCACACGCGGCCTCGGTTTATTGTCCTATCCGAACGACTAGACGCTTTTTCCATGTCAGCCCCTCTTACCTGCATCACTGACAGGGGGAAACCGGGTTGAAAAATCCGAAGGTATTATCTCGACCTATGCTGGGATTGAACCCTGGAGCTTCAGGTTAACGAGCAAGCGTCTAACTCACTGAGCCACCGCGGCTCCCTGAGAAACAATTGAAGGCATGCTCCCAGAGTAAGATGTAATTGATAAATCAGGGAAGGACACTACAGTAAGCGACGAAAAGAAACCAATATTGAGTGATGATTATTTTATTGAGCATGACAATGAAATTATAAAATGAATGTGTGTGTTGTTCAACTTTTTATTTTCTTCTGGTATCGAATCCCCCGCGTCCTCTTCCAAAGAATTGATTGCCACCAAAAAATGGATTTCCTCCAAAACCAGGAGCACCACCCAAAAATCCAGGAGCACCTCCCAAGAATCTCCCAGCACCTCCAAAAAATCCTTGGTTTAAGGGGTTGAAAAACGGTTGGTTGAAGCCTGGCTGACCGAATCCTCTAAATGGTTGACGATAAAAACCATCATCTCTTTCAAACCCATCAGCTGAAAAATAAAGCGAAAGTCCGTTTGAAATTGAAAGTTACTACTCCACATTAATCTTATAAATCATGTCATGCAGTGTAGAACTATTTCATTAGGACATTGGTTGTAATAGTGCAATTTAACGAAAGGTAAAGGACGGGTAATTTTGTTTCTTCGGAGATATAACCCACTGTGAGATGTGAATCAAGGCGAATTAATACAATCCTCCATAAGGACATTAAAGAATTGGCGGGTATCTTTAGCGAGAGTGCATGCTCTCTTCGGAACATCTAGTGCCAGAGAGTCCATATCGTTGTAAATATTGATGTCAGCCCTCTTGTGACTAGATGTACCTAGAACAATTACTGATTGATACTTACAAGCTTGTGTCGAGGCAATTATTACAGCCATCAGAAATAAACTCACATTGGAAACCATTTTAGAGTAGTACTGAAATGTAGAATTTAGTATTTAAAATTGTGTCTAAGGTCTGGCTGGTCAATAATATTTACTCCAATTGATCGAAAACAACAATGTTTTATTGTGTATAATTATATTGAATTAAATGCATAAACAAATTTCACAGAAGATGGAGCCTGAGGCAATGGTCAAGATTGTCTCGACTGGTTGATTTTCATCAAAACACAACGTAGAAGTTGGACGGACGTTCAATGCACCTCGTTGCAGGTTTGCATTGTTGCTTGTGGCCAGATTGTATGATTTCTGGAGGCAGTGTCAGCGAACTGGAACTTGGGGATGTAATAGAGGGCAAATGTTGAGATAGAGATGCGAATGATTAGAGATTTGGATATGAATCTTTTTTATAATTGGTTGTTCCTATGCTTCCAAAAATTTAAAGTCAACATGTTTTATTTCGGAATTTATGAATTAAATTGTCAGATCGCACTTACGAGATTTTTACCATTGTGCCCTAAAGTTACGATTGCCATGTTCACTATGGGTACAGGTTGGATTCTAATAGTTATAATCTCAATCATGTCGACTGAAATCTATTGATAATTGACGGTCAAATCATGTAATGGCCCTGACACACCTTAACGATTTAGCCAGCGTAAGGCATTGAATAAAAATTTCCTTAAAATGCTGGTACACGCTGAACAATTCACGTTTTTGGTTTTTTGGGGTTTTTTTTGCGTATTCACAACGAATTGCTTGTATAAATAGTATAACCTTATATAAACGTTGTGCTCACTTATAGTTAACTTATACTAACAATTGTGATATACCAGTTCCCTAATGCTGTCAAACCAAGACGATTTGGCTAGCGCATGCCAACGTTTGGCGAATACGTTTGCACATGTCGATGAAGTTATGGATAACTTTTGTTTAAGTTGAAAGCACACTGGCATACATCAAAGTATGGTGAACTCGTCTAAATCTTTCGTGCGTGCATAAAATTTTCGACGTATTACTTGCTTTGAACCTATGCTAAACTTATCTCGGACGACTACAGAACTAACCAAACGCTTGTCTAACTTACAGCTACCGTATAATGGCGTATAGTGCATCGTTTAGGGGTATTAAATAAATATCAGATGTCAATCTACCATTATACGTTACATGTAATTAAAAACACAGTAAGTAGGTTCTAGGGTTGTTCAGAACACGTCAACTTACAATGGAAGTTCGACGTAGAGGTTCAAAGCAACCTGTTACTACGACATATACTAACGTGCTTGTTCAGTGTTTACTCATTAGGTTTTCGACGAACGGCAGCGTATTCGTCAAATTTTTTATACGCTGGGTATGCGCTTGTCTGTCTTAATCGACAATGTGTGACAATGGTAAGTATATGTTTATAAATTGAAATGTATTTAATGAGCATCAGCACCTCCACATGGTAAGTATATGTTTATAAATTGAAATGTATTTAATGAGCATCAGCACCTCCACATGGTAAGTATATGTTTATAAATTTAAATGTATTTAATGAGCATCAGCACCTCCACATGGTAAGTATATGTTTATAAATTTAAATGTATGAATGAGTGTCAGCACCTCCACATGGTAAGTATATGTTTATAAATTTAAATGTATAAATGAGTGTCAGCACCTCCACCAGGTAAGTATATGAATTGAGGTTTGTTTATGCGCATCAGTACCTCACAAAGGTAAGTATATAAAATTACATGTATAAATGAGCGTCAGCAACTCCAGAAAGTAATGGAAATTGAAATATGAAATACCTCATGATTTATCAAGACGTACGATACTTCATTTTCCTCATCTATAAAGTCAATGTGTCCCCCCAGTGAATCTGATTAGTTTAGAACTATATCTAGACTATCAAAACTTGAGAGGAAATTATGGTTATTATCTTGGGGGTAAAATCCATATGATAATCAAATGTAGGGCACTACAAGCAGTAACACAAGTTAATATTTAGTGATGATAATTTTTTATTAAGTATGAAAATTGAATTATAAAATGGAAATGTGTGATGTTAAAATTATTCATTTTTTTCTGGAATCGAATCCCCCGCGTCCTCTTCCAAAGAATTGATTACCACCAAAAAATGGATTTCCACCAAAAACAGGAGCACCACCTAAAAATCTAGGAGCACCTCCCAAGAATCTCCCAGCACCTCCAAAGAATCCTTGGTTGAAGGGGTTGAAAAAGTTTCCACCAAACGGTTGGTTGAAGCCTGGCTGACCGAATCCTCTAAATGGTTGACGATAAAATCCGTCATCTCTTTCAACCCCATCAGCTGAAAAAAAGAGCAAAAGGTCGGTTTGTAATCAGAATGAATATAAGTTTCCTACTCTGCATTCGTCTGATGAATCATGCCAATGAGATAAAGTGTAGAAAAGTTTGGGCTATGATGTACTGATTTCTTACATGTGGGTCGTAAACACAGAGCAACCAAATTCAATGCGAAACTGTATTATGTAATAACATGGTAACCTTTCCAGTTTAAACTGATCTAAACAATCCTTATTAATAGGTTCCATTGAATAATGACGAAGAAGTGTCGCAGCAAGGACTGTGTGTGAAAAACTTTATCTACGAACTGTAGTTTAACAGCTAATGATGAAATACTTACAAGCTTGTGTCGAGGCAATTATTACAGCCATCAGAAATAAACTCACGTAGGAAATCATTTTAGAGTAGTACTGAAATGTAAAAATTGGTATTTAAAATGGTTCAGACAGGAGGCGGGTTACGATTTTTTTGTTTTGCTATGCGACAGAATGATATGAACCTTATCGGTAGATAACCGAGCGCATGTAGAAGAGTTCACTGCACTCTGTTGCTGAATTTAAAACATAAGCATCTTTCAGAAAGTCAACATACCTAATAATAATATCCTTAGTACTTACCGTTTTGTATCTGTTATTTGTATTGATGAAGGTAAGAATGATTTGTTCAATTGATCTCCAATGTTTATATACCCTATCATCTTGTTGACAAATACCACGCTCGAAAACTGGTCAATAATATTTACTCCAAATTGATCAAAAACAACCACTTTTTGTGCATTTATTGAATAAATATGCATGGTTTATTTGACATTTTTATATATTTAGATTTAACAAGTGTTAATAATAATATGGAGCCCGAGGCAATGGACAAGATAGTCTCGCGTGGATGATTATCATTCAAAACAACATAGCGTAGTAGTGGACGTTGAATGCATCACATTTTCTTAACCAATCTGAAAGCAGGCAGGTAGCCAGACGTGATTATTCGGAGGGGCATGTAATATATCATAGGGGCAATGGTGTACAGTGTTGCAGTAATGGAATCGGTGGGTTATGAGAAATATTTTAAAGGCTGCAGGGTGGGGAAGCATTACCATTGGGCGTCGTGAAGACGAGGGAAATATCATAATTATAAGCTTTGAATGTCGATGTCCGTGTTGCTGAGGTGCAAAATAAGATACCGAGAGTTGTCAGTAACTTTATATTGACATGACAACAGATCACAAGAGGATCACAGCCTAAGAAAATTGTATATGGTATTATACCATGAACAAATCTAGTGTTGTTGGAGAGAAAGCCAGGTTTTAGGATTATCTATGACAGCTTTGTAAATAGAACCCACATCATCAGTGCGTCTGATTGACGGAGGAACTAATTCCAACAGCATTGGTGACAGTCGAGATTCAGGAACAGTCTGAAAAAGAAACATTTGCATTAACGTGAAAAACGACTGATAAAGGAGCCTTGCCTCAGACAGGGCTTAGTTCCATCCATTACCGAAAAAAAAAATAACCTCTAGGCAACAGTTGAGTGTTGCTGAATGTGGATCCAATATAATAATATATCTGATTGAGAATGCTTTTACTGTTGGGTCGTGTACACATATAACTAAATCTGAACTTCGGATTACCAGATGTGTGGTTTTAAAACAATGAACGACCATCTTACCATGGTTTGACGATGAATTTGATGAGAAATAACAATACTATCACCACAACCTTCATCTAAATATTTCCTGATCTTCGCCATCTCTTCTTCATTGCGCGGCATCATCTTTGATGTCTCCAAGAATTGGTAATGGTTGACGTCACTTCCGAATACATCAGAAGCTTTTTTACCGCCCATTTCATTTTGCAGATGATCAACAAAATCTGAAATAGATATCGGTGTAAGGGATAAGTTTATTATTTGTTTTACCAGTGGACAGAGTCTGTATATATCTGTATCACCTTTCAGCCCCTGATAAATTTTTAGGTAATTTGGTAAACAGACAAACCTTGTAATTGCTGATCATCAATGGTGGAGACATCGATTCCAGCTCGAGTCAACATTTTACAGACTCTAGTTCGTACGTCATCGACCAATTCCTTCTGAATCACAACCTGGCATCCATCTTGGGTTTCAGATCTCGCCATCTCTTCCTTCAGCTCCGGTGTCCAATCTGAAATAGCAAGTGGACCAAAAACATGAAACAATGGTGCATGCCTGAATTCGAAATGTCGAGTGTTGATCTGTTCAGTTGTTGTTCTTATTTTTAAAGTACATAACGTTTCATGTATATTAACATTAGACCATTTGCATGTTTTATCACCCGATTACAGTGTAAATTGTCGAAACAGTTTGTGCAATACACCATGCCTACCTTTAAGTTTTGTTTCAACTTTTGGATCTTGGTTTAAGTTTGGTTTCAGTGATAAAAACCTAATATCTCTTACTAAACTTTTCAACAGATCTGTGGACTTCTCCTGAAGCGACAGGTTCATATTACGTTTAAAAACTGTACCGTTAACTTGTCAGACTGTACATCTGCAAGGCCAACCACAGTCATATACACATAAGATTTGAGGTTGGAGAGAGGGTGTGAAAGGAATCAATGATTTGGTCCACAATGGTAAAATTTCGGGGGTAATTGAGATGACCTAAAGATGGGATTTTGATTTAATTTTGTGCTATTGTGATTTCCTGTACATAACTTCTGGGGATTTTAGGTAATTGTACTCAAATCTTGCTGTTTCATAGAGTTTTACCGTTTTTTGTTGAAGTTTATTCAAAAAGGATTCTTCCGGTTTCACGGCATTCTTCATACTGAAATTAACAAAAAAAAAAACAGTTTAGTTTGGTCAAATGGCGTAGCTAACAATGCTGTTCATATCCATGAAACAAATGCATACGGAAGTTGATTTTCAGGTGAGGGTGTTGATGATATTCTTAGACATGTTTTTTCCATTTGAGATTTTGTTTGTATCATGTGGTTTTTGAGAATGAGTAAACAGGTAGCAGCATTACACTTGAAGCCTTCCAATTTCGCCAATTTCCATGGTTCATGTTACATACGAAAAAACCTGACCAAATTAAGTTTATGGCAAATGCTTTTCAGATCAATTGGTTTTTGCGATGATACAGTCATAACCGCTTCCAAGATTTTCTGGTATAATAGGAAACACCGTTGCACGCCATAGGAATGGTGCAAATAGAAGCTACAGGTTAGTGTTCTCCATACCAAATAGACTAATAACTGCCTGTATTACATTCATAAATTACGAAAACTTACAGATATTGGTGAGTCAAGCTTATGTCTGGTTGTTGGAGGCTAGTAGTCTGGTAGATCTTACATCCATCAAAAGCCACAGTCCTGGAACCAGTGCTGTAAATCTTGGAACTGTAAGCTGTAAAGCCATTGGTAAAGGATGAAAACCATTCAGTTTCAAATTCCCTTGACCAAATGAATATATCAGAACACTTTGAGTGCGACCATTTAGAATGTAGTATTGATTTCGATTAAAGCCTTACCTGTGCACCTCATCAATGGTAAGTGCGATATTACACAGTGGATGTGAAGTCGATAAAATCGCAGATATTGTACATACCATTTTGCAAAATGTATTGTTTGGAACAAGAACTGCAAGTTGGATTAAGTAGTAACACCAGATGAGCATGGGTTGGGTTACCATCAACCAGCTTCCATTAAATAAACTCGCTTTATGTAAATGGTGTATAGTTTTCAAGAGAATAATATCTTACCTATCTCTGAAGTCATATCTGATATCTTGGAGAGCTGAATATTGAATGGTCTTGTCGAGTTAAAACAGGGTGAATTTGTCGAATCTAAAATTTCGTGAGTAATAGTTGAATTGTGAACTAAATTCAGACCATGAACATGTAAACTATTGAGTGGTAATCATCGATATCAAGTCTAATGTATAGAAATATTCCCAATTTAACAAAAATGACCACCGTTCCCCCTATTTTACTCCGAAGTATTAAATCACTTACAATTATAGTTTAAAGTAAGATTTAAGATGAAATGGGACAATTCTAAATTATAGCAGTATTATATTATCTGACTCTACAAGATATCCTGGGAATAGCTCTGTTGTCACATCCCCCGGATAAAATATTCTCGACGTGATAGATGGTTTGAAAATCGATTATGAAAATTTAAAATCAAGGATTACTGAAAGGAAGTCAATTACGAGAATACTCTTCAGTACCAAAAGCCTCAACTCAAATCAACACCCTACAGTAGAAATTGTCCGACACAGTGCAGTTACTTTATTACCCACGTATGTAGGGGGACAGAGCGCAGGGGTCAAAGAGTTTTATAGAGGGCTGGAGGACTTATGAACATTTGGGCAAGCAATATTAGTTTTCAGACGGGCTGTCTTAAAAAACGTTCTGAGCTATATCATCCGTTTTCTAAATAAATAATATAGGGGCTCCAATGCCTATGATATTTACCACTCAGATTTAGAATTAGACCCGTGAGTTATGATGATTCAATCTGACCACAGACAACTGTCACTGTGCCAAGAAATGATGGATGCTACGGAAAACAATACTTTCCCCACAATCCCCCTAATAGCTCAAGCTTAGCCAAGGTATTGCCGACTTATATTGAGAAATAACTCCACAAATACTGCTCTAATCTATTTTATTATTAAATGGACGAAATCAGTTATAAATAGTTTGAGCCAAAGTGAGCAAAATATTACAACATAAAGAACTATTCGCATCGCTATATTAATGGGGGTTGCAAACTGTTGTCTAGCTTTATGTCCATCAGGGCCCTGAAAGTCTTCTTTTGCACCATTCCAATTTTCTGTCAGATGTCTGTGGTTCCTGTAAAACCAGTAGATGTCTGATAATTGGAATGGTGTAAATCGATGCTGTCACTGTCCCTGATACACATAAAATAATTCAGAAAACCTCTTTAAACTCCCGTTTATAGTATCGTCTAAAAGCTTTGATTCCCATCCTATTAAATCCCCCTTCCCATAATTTGTTCTCACTATCTCATGGTACCTCTTCACTTTTGGCAAACTGAAGATACAAGAATCTCAAAACCAAAGGTTGGCACTTCCCAGAATCCTAGGTGGGGAACCAAAGTTCTAGAGCTAGTTCATTTGACCATGATTTCACTCTAAAGTTATCTCTATTGGTATAGTGCCACGGAATCCTGTTTTTAGCGAGAATTCATAGTTATCAATTACAGTTACTTCAGTGTACATCCATATATACAGGCAAGATGACGTCATGACCCCCTTATAAATTAAAGTCCATTACACTTAAGAGTCAATAATAAATTTTATGTTAATTTTCATTCCATATTTTAGCACATCAGCAAATGACTTGACTATATGTACATAACTAAGAACTAATCTAGTCACATGACATAAAATAAGGCTTCTGATTGGCTGAAATATTCAAAAAATAAAATCTACAAGGTACCAAAATTACTGAATTCGCAAGATATTGACAACTTAACAGCTTAGTGTTTACAAAATGACAAAACTGGTTTTCTGTTTACAATTTGACTTTTACATCTTAGGTTTACGTGCCGAAAACCTGGCTTTGTATAACACATTTGTTATTTTGCAAGCTAGTTAAATGATTACAGTTTACTTGGTGTCAAGCTTGTTTACTGGTTAAGGTAGTTCGCAGAATACACCTGAACAAGCTTGTTAAATGCTTACCTCTTATGTTTATATTTTGGCAAACTAGTTACATGTTTACATTTAATGATACACTAGCTTAATATCACCCATTGACAATCAAGCTTAATTTTCATATTGACAAACTGGCTCAGTATCTGAACACTGATATGTTAGCTAAGTGTTAACATGCTAGATTGCTAGGTAACTTTTTTCTCTTTATGTAACATTATATGAATCATGTCTATTACTATTGAATACATGTAAATTGTTTTATGGTTTTTAGTAGATAACATGACCTTGATATTATTGCTTAGTACGTTAACATATGTATACAATGCTCCAGATTCTTTAAGTATTGCATCTGCAAGTGAAATTTTATAATGAGGGTTATGTTCTTGAATATACTCCAATTAATTAAGATAAAATTTTCATCTTTTAACATCTGTTGGTGAACAATGTCATGACTATATATTTTAGTAGAGGGCCTTATTAAGTTGCTTTAGTTGTGTTTTTAATCTCCCCTGTTAAATTCTATGAATATATTTTGTGTGCATGTTTGTTATTAAAAATTCATTGTCAATATATCTATAAAAAATTCAGGCCATAAGCAAGGCATATAAAGTCAATTTGCACAGTGTTTCAATTTGATTTGGAAGGATAATTCTGGAAGCTGCATCAAAGCTCTACCTGGATATTAAATGGAGTTTTTTCCCTTGACATGCAAAAATAGGTTAACCAAGATAATAATCCTGTTTGAATCAAACGGAACCATTTATCTATTCTAGATTTTCTGCATGAATCAAACAGACCCTCTAATCTACAGTCTACATTTTAATCACAATTCATTTTTCTTTTTGTCCTTTTTGAAGAGTCCAACAGGACACGAAACTCCAGTGCCGGACAGGCCACAATATCCGTCAGGGTTTTTATGTAAATATTGTTGGTGATAATCTTCCGCATAATAAAACTCTCCCGCTGGTTTAATCTCGGTGGTGATTTGTGGGTAGCCTTTCTGATTAATAAGTTCCTGATAAACCTTTTTCGATGCCAGTGCCTGCTCTTTCTGCTCCTCATCATAGTAATACGCTGCTGATCGGTACTGTGTCCCATGGTCATTACCTTGGCGATGACCTTGAGTTGGATTATGGTTTTCCCAGAATATCTGAAAATAAATTGCAGAAGTCTGGAGGGAACTATTTGTTTTTATGATTTATATAATCAAAGTGATGTCATGAGAATAAGACACACACAGGGACAGTTATTGCTTATTTCTGTACCAACAGTATTTCCCTAATGTTTCTAATTTCTGTACCATCCACGAACAACAACAAATACCATTTTGGTATTCAACCACCAACCATAACAAATTAAGCTGAGTTAGAGTTTGCAATTTATGTTTGAGAGGTACATACCTTTAAGAGATCATGATATGTAATGGTTTGTGGGTTGTAAACAACTCTCACAACTTCTGTATGTCCAGTCTTACCAGTACAAACTTCTTTATAGGTCGGGTTGGGTGTGTACCCTCCAGAATAACCCACCTACAATATACAACATTAATATCAACATCATCAATGAATGTATTATTAAAGGCAACAGTAAGCTCTATCAGCTGGTAAAAAAAATACAACTATATCCTTTATATTTAATTGTAGAAGAACAGAATTTCCTAATTTCAAAGCAGCTCAGCTCTATCAGCTGATAACTCAACTATTTAAAGAACTACATCCCTTTGAATCTAAAAGGCTGGAGACTGATATTCAGGGCCATCATGTCCACCAGCAGAGTCATTGCTATATTGATGTATGGTAAGAGTATTAAACTTACCTGTGTTGAATAGACACCATTTTGTTGCCAAAATTTTCTTTCAGCACCCCAAAAACATCCCATACCTTAAAAAGAAATTATGTCTTATTTGAGAAAATTTGATTCGTAACTTTTTTGGCATTCTTCATTCATTTAAAATGTATTTTTCAAGTTTAACTTAATGATGTCTAATGTCCAGAACACATATTTGCTAAACCATAGCTTAGATATCTCAGCTCTGTACATGATAAAAATTGATTTGCAGTATGGTCTATACAAAGTTGTTACATTTTTTATGAAAGATCTTGATAGTTTGTATTTGATTTTGGCCACCTTTTACCAGATAAACTTGTTGAAGAGTTAACAACTTACAATTGATGTAAAAATGAGCTACCACCATGTCTATAGAATGAATGATGATAAATATCTATGTAGGAAATCAAACTTACCAAACATAGCTTGTTTCGTGCCATCGGGAAATGGTGGTAAGGTGGGGTTTTTATTCACTACATGTTTCTTAGATACTGATATAGATTCATTTCGACCTGAAAATAATTACCAAATGGTATTTCATTTAAAGATGGGTTTCCTTGTTTCTTAGAGTCAAATTAAGCAAACTATTAATCCTAGAATAAGTCATGGCCTATAGCAGAGGTTCCCAACCTTTTTCAACCTTCACACCCTTGAGCAATCACCTGTACCTTCCACACACCCCAAAATTTTTTTCATCCACATTTCCAGCATGTGATGATGTGAGGTGCTTCTCAATTCAAAATACATTCTTCTCCTACACCAGTTGGCCACACCCCTGACACCCTAGTCTCACACCCCCAGGGGATGAAAACACCCCCAGTTTGGAAACGGGGGCCTAATACTATTAAGTAATCCATTATTTTACAATTGTGAAAAAAGTCTTACCAGGAAGAGCTTGAGATTTATCCACCATTTCTAGTTTCGAGTTCAAATCTCCCATAGAAAACAACGAGGCAGTGGGAGGATTGAAACGCACCAATTGAGCCACTAATAATATCCGTGTAGCTTTATTTATAAACCTGAAATACCAAATATGATATAATATAATTTTCCAAAAAAAAATATCTGTCTACTTTTCTTAAACGTTGTTTATTCTGGTTTTAAGTGGTCTTTGACAGTTGCAGGATTTCATCTTTGAGCTATGGCACCTAGTTAATTTACTTCAATTGTAGACAATCCAAACGTTTTAAAAACCATGAAAATCTTTTGTAATTCCTTACTTACATACAGTGTTAATCCAACAGTCAAATTTCAGTTTTGATATTTTAGAATTCTATAAACCTATATGATATTGGTATTTCTGTCTTTTGGTAGAATATAGCAAGTTACACAGTCAGACTACTAAATACCATAATACTGTTTATCACAAGTCTCACTGTCCCATATATTATACACCTTATATATACCTCTTATATACCAATAGCTCATACTTTATACAACAAATTTATATAATATTGTGGTCCAAAACTTGCTAACTCATGTCTAGCCTAGATAGATATAATAAATGTATGATATAGAGCAATCAAATTCAGAGCATATAACTTTGATAGCTTAATATACTTCTAAACAATGATAATATACATGTATTCCAAACTTAGAGTCAATAACTTTATATAACATAGTTGTCCAAAACTTATCTTTTTATCCTTTTCCTACCCAAAGTATAGTAAATCAAGTACTAGCACCTGTAAACCTGTTGGCTTATATAAGTTTAGCCAATAACTTTAGTCCAAAACTTGCTTACTCATCCAAGCTTTGATAGATATATCATAATAGATTTCAGAGTTCATAACAGTATAGCACACAGTGGTCCAAAACTCTTACCTAGCCTGTGATAGCTTTGGTTATATGCAATAATAACATATAGAACCTGTTAACCTATTGCTTTATACAAGTTTATAGAATAACCTAATATAAATATAAATATGAAAGTCCAAATCTTGCTCACTCATAGCTGGTTTTTGACAATACTTATTTCAAAATATATACTAATAACATATATAGTATACCTATTGCCTTATATAAATTTAGCCAATAAATATATATAAATAATCATAAAATAAACTAATCAAGTGTTGAGAGAGAAATAGAAATTAACATTCTATCAGATAAAATTACTAACTTGGCCTAATGAGACCAGTCTGAGGTATTTTATCTCCTAAACTCTTTCATCTATAGCCTTCTTCTATTTTACAACAGGTGGATAGATAACTATTACACTGCTAACAAGATCTCTCTCTCATGCATTTTATGAGGTAAACCACAAAAATCATTTGATGAAGACACTAAACATGGACAAAACCGAGAAGCAAACATTGAAAATATAAGATAGAGAAGAAAGATAACCATTTTTTTTAAGGTGTAAGAATAAAAGTTGTCTTGTCTATTGGCTGATCCTTGACACAACCTCTTGTAATTTATCTTTTCCGAGTTGTCACATTTTAACATAGATTAGAACTTACGACCACAATTCTACGAAATCACTGACATCCATTAGTCCCATTTCAAAGCCGTTTTTTGCTTTCTTACAGGTTTTTAATGAGTCAATCTATAAAAGTCTTGAGATAAATTATAAAAACCACACTGCATATCTAATAGGCAAGCTTAAAAAAGAAAAAAAATGGAAAAAAATCATACGAGTACAGAAAAAAAGTATGGCTCACAGTCAAAATTATAAATTTAATGGTATGTCACACAAATATTGGTTTTAAAATAATTGGTAAAAATATGAGAAATAACTTTAAAGGTTCAAACACATACATTCAAATAACCAATCGAACAGATATAACATAATGTTGTATCCAAAGCACGTAGGTTTAATAAGATAGATGTACTCAATCTTAAATAACCAGAACCACAAAACCATAACAGAAGTTCACACATACGAGAAAGATAATCACGCTTATGACATTATTGAACCAATATCTGTCAAGAGCCAAACAAAATCATTTCGTAGAAACAATACTGTAGAGATCTGTGATGAATTCTCCAATAAACACAATGTCATGACTTGTGCGTGGTTGTCGGGAAACTATAAGTTAGATACTTGATGCAAAACGGTTCAAACAAAACTAGTCTCATAAATCAAAACTAGTCTCATAAACTCATAAATCAAAACTAGTCTCATAAACTCATAAATCAAAACTAGTCTCATAAACTCATAAATCAAAACTAGTCTCATAAATCAAAACTAGTCTCATAAACTCATAAATCAAAACTAGTCTCATAAATCAAAACTAGTCTCATAAATTAAAAATAGTCTTGTAAATTAAAAGTAGTACATAATTCAAACTAGTCTCAAAAATCAAAAGTAGTCTCATAAATTAAAAAAAGTCTCATAAATTAAACTAGTCTCATAAATTGCTTTCGAAATAAAACAATATAAAATTAATGCATCACCAGCTTCATACCATTATCTCCTGAATAAAATGTTTTAGAAATACATACATTAAGAAAATAGAATGAAATTTTTTTATAATGTATCACTAAAATAGATATACCTATACCTAACCTAATATAGTTTATATTGTAATTCCATGACAAAAATATTAGTAACTTTTTGAACAAAATATAAAACTCCAAATACAATCTACTTTCACCTCAAAATATAATGTTCCTTTCAGTGAATAAACAAAAAAATAAAATACCTTCTAAACTGTACATTTGCCTCCAAAAATATAAAATTCCTTTTCAACAAAATAAACTGGGTTGATTAAAGACTTGAGCTGGTTAATGATGAAGAATTCCTCAGGCTGCAGGCTGATCAGAAAATATTTGGCACCGAGTCAATATTCCTCTGTTTTTTCAGTTCACTCTAGGTGTATCTTGATAAAATTTATTAAATTTAATTTTAACTTGCGAGATTTAGTGCAACTGAAAATATCCTACCTAATTACTGGTTTTCAAGTTAGGCCAAGAAAATTTAAAATGGAAAGGGTGTGTCAGCTTCCTTGAAGTAGAAATTGTGAATTAAAGAGATTGTAATGAGATTTTATAAACTTTTTTCGTGTATCGAAGACACTCATATCATCAAATTGTATCATTCCAATTTTCAGTCAGACATCTGTGGTTCTTGCAATTCCATTTGAAGTAAGCGTTTTATGATATCACTATTACAAAATCTGCTATTGATATATAAGAACATTTGCAATAGTGATGGATAAAACCCAAAAGCCATAAGCTAAGCTTAAGTGGAATTGCACTGTGGACACTGACGTCTGATTGGATATTGGAATGGTGCAAATCGATGCTAACAGTGTCCCGTATACAGATAAGTTTTTTACAAAATGCTCTTTAAAATCCCTTTCAGATTCCAGGATGAAAATATATAAGGGTTATTGCTAACATTGACGTTGTGAAGTAAATTTTGGTTTGTCCATTAATGTCATCAACTGGTTTAGAATAGTAAACTTTTCAACATTTGTTTGCCATTGTCTTCGTTACAACTATGATATCCTGAAAAGGACTACAATACGCCTTTCTCACGATAACAGACTTCTTATAATAAGTAATGAAATGAAGTTCAAGACAAACAGGCCTGCGCTATGCAGGGTATGCTTAAAATCTAGACACCTGATATCACTTATTATTAAGAAATACTTATTCACTTATGATTGATATACTTCCTCATGTTTTGTTTTCCAATTCAGATCATTAGTACTTGGTTTCTTTTTCAAGACATCCTTTTCTGCTCCAAATTTGGCTAATAATTATAGAAAATGCTATACAGTGTGCAATGATGGAAATTTGATCTGAACTGAACAAATTACTGGCAAGCGATACACCAGATATACACATGATATTCCATGAAGATTTCATGAAATAAGCACACAGTTCCTTTAACTTACTTCTGGTTGAAGAATCTATTTTTATTTATCTGTTTCTATGGTGATCAATATTTCCTAATGGATCATTATGTAGATTAATTAGGTGGCAACTTCACACTACAAAATTCAATTTCTGGTCATTACCAGCCAAAATTACTCTCTATAAAAGGCTTGAATGATGAATGAGAAGTTCTTTTGGCAGAAACAGTTGGTGATTAGAAGCAAGATGATCTTTTTTTTAAAAAAGGATTGAAATTAATCTTTTTCAAGGAAACAACAAATCAAATTGAGGTTTTAGCTTGTAGCTAAATGTCAATTTATTATAAACTCTTGACCTTTAATCTTGAGTTAAGACGTGAGGGGTCATTGAGGTCACAAGGGGTACAGAGGGGTTTGGGCATTACCCCCCCCCCCCTTTTCGAATTTTTCGACTGGATCTATGATAGATACAATAACAACTATACTCTAGTATAACTGTATCCTTTAGAAAATTCTATAGAATATTCCAGCACACTGTTCTCATTATTGACTTCCACACCAAATTTCATTTTCAATTCACTGCGGAGATTTTGTTATTCTCCCATTGACAGAGATGTTAGTCTAATAACTAGCTCTCACCATGTCAGATTTCTTAACAAAACATAACCCCTTGTCTTTTATATTTACATACAGTCGGATCAATTTCATTTGAAATTAAATTGGAGTTTCTACATCCTACTTCTTATTGACAAATGAAGAAAAGCAATGCCATATAGTGAACCGTGAGCAATGTGCGAAATTTTGATGCCAATTCAGATTACATACTGTTTGATATCCAGAGGATGAAAAAGCTTTAACTCCCCTGCCTAACAGTTTATTGTTCCTTATATCTAAATATTCATTTGAATTTCTCTGTGTAGGTACTTCTCAATCTTCAATTCAGTTGAACTATCATGGTTTTTCCTCTTAGAACTATTCTTAAATAGTATCACATTAAAAATAAACAGTAAGTTTTCACTTCTATATTATATATCCTTATTTATTGGTGCCTAATATAGACAATAGACATTGCTCAAGAATCCATATACAGTTATATTATTTCATAAACATATATGTCTTTAAGAATATCTCTCAGAACTAATAACAAAATGTCCATCTATGTACTTAGTTTTCAAGCTCTCCACCGCCCCACTCTAGCCACACACCCACATATATAGTGCCAATTGTTATCTGTTAGAATCAAGAATCAATATATCTAATTAGTTCAATAAGAACTTCTATAAGAACTAAAGAAGGATTAGTTATAAAACCAAGCTATATTAAATAGGAAGTCCTACAGCCAGTATATAATTATTGAGTGAACTGTCTGTTGGAGAAAAAGCACTCTAGAGCTTAGTCAGAAACTGGAATGCTTATCAATTAGATTAAGTGAGTTCTCTCTCAAAAATTTGACAAAATAATGTCTAAAATTTATTTTTGCTTCAATTTTTTCTTGCCTTAAACTTTCTTAATTAGATTAAAATGTGCATCAAAGCAAAGCCAATTTTTGATATTATGCTTCTGTCCTAAATACAATTTCAAAATCTCAAAATTCTTTTGGGACTTTTCTTATCAAAACAGAACTACAGTAAGTCACTTACTCCATTATAAGATCTATGACCACCATTTTGTGAAATTTAAATTTGTAAATATAGTGAAAGATAAGGGAAGTGAACTGGCCGGCTGGGGTAATATGACAATAAATATAGTTGAAATAGACCTACTACAGACTGTTATTAAGGTCCATATTGACCTGAAAGATAATAATACTATAAATACTCAATACAGGATATACCATAGTTTATACTAGCTACTTAATACATCTGGTCAAATCACATTAATATCAATCTTCTAAGAACACCTGATGCCACTCTGAGACTAGGTTTGGTATAATTATTACACTTTCAATATGCCTTTGATGAATTTGTTGGTGGACAATAGTTTCCTAAGGTAATTATCAAACTATTTGCTTTGAACTAAGTTGAATTTGAGCTCCACTAAAATAAGAAGGCCTACTCACCAATCCCTACCCGGCAACTTCAGTTTGCTGACCCTGCCACCATACTAGTGATTGATAAACTAACTAATGAATGAAATATTCATTTTCAGACAATAAAACCATGTTTAAGGAAAATGACACAGACTGTTAACAAGTTTAGTCAGTTACTAAATATAGACTTCCATTCTGGAATATAATAAGTTATAACAGCTCTAGTCATTCATTTACTTTCATTTCCTTTTACATCATATAATATAATGACATATACCCTGCAGTCACTTTCTACCTACCAAGTACTTTACTAAACAGTTATATTTGTCACTGACTAGATCGTTGTCAAGAGTTACACCCACCAACACAGGCACATGAGGAGGCAAAAACTTCTAGTCGGTTGTTTTCCACCATGTCAATAATCACATGCCAAGCATGCAATTGAAAGGAAATTGAATCTGATTGGATGATGACGCTCTGTCTTCAAGACAATAAAACAATATTATAAATCCTGTCAGCAACATGATAATCTTAGCGTGGAAACATGGGCACATGGGAGATTTTACTCAAGATTCTAGTCTGCAACAAAAATCTCCCACCAAGACCGTTCCTGTGCCTGCACCTTAAGCTGCTCTCTTCGAACTTGGAAACCAACCAAATACTAGACTGAGGTAGTTTAATTTAAGGAGACAATAGATATGGATTGGCACATTCATTGCGGCATCAATCCAGGCAGTCATATTTCACTGTAATGCTGGGAGCAGACGTGTATTTTATCGCCCAATCACAATGATTAAACCCCATAACAACGGGGCATGAGCGGGAACACATTCGAATTTTGTGAATGATTTTAAAATATATAATAATAATAATAAAATATGCTTGTCTGCCCTAGTGTAATCATGATAAAATCCCTGTTTGTAGTCTAGTCTACTCTAGATTTCATATCAATAATTGGGGTCTGGCTGCCATCCGTGTAATGATCTGAAGTAAATCTTGTTACCTGAAATCAGTCACTTATTGAACTAATTGCAATCAAATGAAGCAAAACCCAATATAGTAATTTGTATGTAGCAAGGAATGGGCAAGCTTTTTTAATGTCAAAAACCTTGTTTTTAATGACTTTATCTAAACTTTTTACAGAACAGCCCAATTTTCAACTAATAGTAGGTCTATGCAAAAAAAGAACCTTAATTATTTATTAATCAGCAAATAAGATCGAGTATTCATTTGAAGCATACAGTTGTCAACCCACCATCTCCTTAGAGAGTCCAAATAAATGTTGGTAGGCCTAGTTGGTATAACTAATAATACTAATAATATCCATTAGTAGTTGGTAATGGTAGGTCTATCCACTCAGTATGCCTTTCTGGCTTTCCTTTCAGAAAATCTACATAGCTAATAATGTTTCTTTGGTATTCAGGCTTGTCAACTTAACATCCCTTTCAGAAAGTCTTCAGATAGCTAATACTAATGTTTATAATATTTTGGTCTTTTTACATTGTCAACTCAGCATTCCTTTCTAAGAGTCTAAATAGATAATAACGCCTAGATTTGATGTAGTCCTACTGTGTACCGGTACTGTAAATTATGTATGTATAACGTGATGAAAGTAAGTGAGAACAGTATTGGCTTTAATGAATGTCTGTCGCTGTGCTGTTAGTCATAAAAGACAGTTGTTTTAATATCATTTTTTACATTCAAACAAACCCAGTCTAACTGTTAACAAACCAACACACAAACATTCAACTACAATAAGTCGGCTGCCAAGAAAAATATCTCAAAATTCACTTACATAACAAAAATATTCTTCGTTTGGCCCAGTCGATACTATACTTCCGGTATATTACACCGAGGCTACATAAACATAAAAGTTATTTATAGTAGTATATTGATCCCAGGGGATTCCCAGCCCGATTATTTATAGTAACATATCGATCTCAGGGGATTTCCAGCAAGTCATCAGGGGATTCCCCATGTACATTCTATAGGAGATGCACAGTCAGTGTCTTTATATTATGGTAGGATTCCCATGCAACTTTATTAATAGGAACAACTGGTTCAACAAGTTTTAATTCTACAAATTGAAAAGGATTGGATTTTTTAAATCCTTTTTCTCTGCTCTTGAGTTTGTTTTTGAACGGGAATTTTTGTTCTGACATCAACTATTGCTGTATGCACAACCCAGGTTTCTAGTCCCTGTCAATTGCTTTTTTCATACCAGCTCATTTACTGTAGTCAAAATCGAGCTGCAAACCACATGCATATAGAAAAAATAGATAATTGAGGTATGTTTATTTATGGTAAAAGATTGATCCACAAGGTTAAGCTCCTCTCCAAATGAAAGCTCAAGTCCACCCAGACACATTATTGTTCCTCATGAATTTCATAGCAGCGTCAGATTTTGAACCCCTATCCCACTGCCAGCACATTCCAGAATGTGCTGTTTACCAACTCTCAAACCCACAGGATTTTAAGGAAAAGAAGGAGATCAGTAAATATAGTAATTTATTCAACAGAATCCATTCCACTTTTATACTAAATAATAATATTTTATGTTACATGAAAGGTTTAAGCTAGATCAACAGAAAAAAATTAATAAAAAATTGAAAGAATGCAAACTTCAGAACCAAACTTTAATGTAAATGAAAAGCTGTAAGCTTGTTGTGAAAGAAGAAGAAAAACATAATATTATTGAAGTACAAATCTGACAAATTTTAAACAAAGTTACTGCTCATATCCTATGTTTTTCTATTTTCATGCTACGAAAAAATAAATAATATCATAATAAGAATAGCACTAAAGATATAAAAAAAAGACTCAATATTTATAACTATTTTACTTCTAAATCCATTTCCTTTATTCAACAATAGATATAGATCCCAATTACCACAGAATTGAGCCAAATATTTGATATCAAAATAACAGACAAATCATGGTAAATCATGTCATATTCTTAAAAGAACGTAAACGTTGTCAATATTTGACAAAAATACACTGAACAGAAAAAGAATCTTTTTCATGTCAAGTATTTCGAAAGATCATAAATAGGCATGTGCAGTCTCCGAAACAATGTACAGACTACTGTCAATATTTAACAGACATATACCCATCACAAAAAAAAGCTTTTTCATGTCAAGCATTTCGAAAGATCATAAATAGGCATGTGCACTCTCCGAAACATAGTACAGACTATTTTCAATATCTGACAGACATAAACCCATCAGAAGCTATTTCATGGCATGCATTTTGAAAGATCATTTATAGGCTTGTGGACTCTCTAAGACACAAACCCATCTCAGACACATTCGTAAGTCAAGCCCTGTTTTCATTAAAGGCTTGTTAGCTTGATCTGTAAACAGGCTACTTTAATCTCATGATAAATCTCTCTACCTCTCTAAATAAGTGTGTCAACTCCTTGAAACAGGTATTGTCAAATTTGACAGATATAATCCCAACCAATACAAAATCATAAATGACTTCACGAGAGGGTTTTAAGCTAGAACTGTGAACAGTTTTATTTTGTTCTGAGGAAAAATAAGTCTATACATGTAAGGCAATGAAAAAGGATGATAAGAAATTGCACCATAACAAGCCAAGGGAGATAATTTATCGTAAAGCTAGATTAGAGTCGTCTTCTCTTTCCACAGCATGTTGTTTTAACTCTGTTAAGGTATGAACAAACTTGGACCATTCTTGAGGTTTTGGATTTGCCAAATGCTATAAAGAGATAGATAGATATATTAGTAAAGAGCCTGAATTTTTGGCTATATCAGCCCATGTCCATACTGAAGTAGCTCTAGTGTTTACATTATGACAGCCAGTAGCAGGTTGAAATGCGTCTGCTTGGCCATTAGATGCTGTGGGTTCAAATCGTCCTCAAAGTAGAAAACAATGCTGATGCCATGGCTAGTGCTTCCTAGAGTTGGTCTTGTGTTGGCTTTTAATTAATCAAAATTAATTAATTCAACCCCTAATTACTATAAATATATACCAACCTCTCCCACATCATAAGTATGTATTTTTCCCATATCATCTCCCACACTGATCATGTGACCACTTTGATGCCAGCGACAGGTATTCAATGCCACATTACCATCAATAACAGTTGAAGCTGTGGGAACCTATAATATCAACCAAATAGATATTAACAGTAATTTCCAGCTGAATACATGCCCTATACATATGTAACAGTGCATGATGTGTTATCAAGGCAGTTTTGAATGAGGCTGTAAGCTGCTGATTTGTATGTATTAGTATGTATTGTCATTAATACAGTTATAGGTTGTTGATTTGCTTGTATTAGCCAACACATCTGATCTATTAATGTCACATTTTCTAAGTCACATTAGTGAACTCTGCTTTAACCCTGTGCCAGTGCCTTGTTACCCTTTATCCACCCTAACTGGTAACTTCGAACAACCTCTACATCCCATTTCCCCTAAAGTTTAAAAACTACCAAGTTCAAAAGTTTATTTGGTAAAGTTATAAACCTGAAAAGTCTAAAATCATGTAGAAAAATGTCAGTTTTTACCTCTGTTTCATTATTAAGGTGCCAGAGATCCAGTCGGCCATTACCATCCACACTAGCGAATAATGCAGGGTGAATAGGAGACCATTCTACACCATATACATAATCACTGTTATCTTCAAATGAATGGATAAACTTCTGGTCCTAGAATAACAAAATCAGATCCATTTAAATTTTGACAATCAAAACTTTTTTTTTCAGAAAGTTTCTCAACAAAGCCCACTTAATCTTTTTAAGAGTAACAACTGTCACATAGCATGGTGAGCTGATCGCCAATTTTAACTTCCCTTTTAGATGGCACATTTGTTTGATAATTGTGTTGCCTACTTATACTTTGGGTTTGTAAACTCAACCTTCAGGAGTATTAAGTAACTCTCCTTTCAATTCTAAATTGAAGATAACATACCTTGATGCTCCATAGTTTGATCGTCCAATCAAACGAGGAAGTTAAGAAATATGGAGAGAAGTCAATCTGACCCTGGACAGAATTACAATCCACAGCTGTGATTGGTCCTTGATGGCCGTCAAATGAATCATTAATACCAGCTTTACTGTAACAAAAAAAACATGTGGTATTTTTAATATTAAACTTGATATTTTTAATATAAATTTTAAATGTGTAGACAGTATATGATGTCCACGACTTTTACCACAACTGGTGCCTTCAAGGATTAGCCCAGCGTCGTTTTCCATCTCTCTCCACTTAAGCAAAAGTAGAAGGGTTTGTAAGTATGTGTTTTCTTTCTGGGATATATGGCAAAGACAAGACACATTTTTGGTACACGATGTGAAGTGTAGGTTAAGTGAGAGAAATTGGAATCAGTTGAAATTAAGAAATGGAATGATTGAGACATCCTGTCAGAATCTTGTGTATCAGGCTCATGATTTGGCTCTATATGCTAGACATGGCCTACGGGGAAGCTCTAATGACTGACATGACTGACCACATCATTGTGTACTAATAGGTGTAAAGCAACTAACCTGCCGTGTCGACATGCAGTATAAACTGTACAGTCTTCAGCTCCTACTACAAAATTATTCACATCTCCAGACAGAAAACAGAAACTTGTCACTGCTACAGCTTTACTCTGTTTATGTTGTAGTTCCATGCTGTCCTACAATTTTGAGAAATATGCAAAAATTAAGGAACAAATTCTTTCAAATATTTATTTTAACCACAACTTTCCAAATCAAATGAACAAAAATAATCACAGTGGTAATTGTACATTGAAGATACATCATAACATACCATGATTTATTTTATTTAGTTTCAACTCTTGGAAAAGATTTGATAAATAGTTCTGGCTTTGCTCACTACCATTCCCATGATTAATATAATGATTTACCTGTGGTTGAGATAACATATCTAAACTCCATGAACACATTTTACCATCTGTAGATACACTGATTAGATTGTGAGCATTCTGAGTCCCCACTACATTAACACAATATACAGGATGCTGGAACAAAATACATTACTATTAGCTACCATAACTTAACATCCTCTAGGTTGGCTTATTTATATATTGTTAGGAGCTTCACATCCTTTATCAATATTACATTTGGCTTACTGCTACCTTTACTATTTTACACCCTATAGATTGGGTATTATCTTTGCAAATACCCTTTACATCTGATAAATAAATATTCAAAAACATCACTATTATCTACTGTTATCCCTTCAAAATGAGCATTATGACATTCTTTGATACAATTTTATTCTTAACAAATTCCTCCATTCTCTCCAAAATTAAAGAAGCAATCTTAATTCTGATGAAATAGACTGGCTGTAGATGAATTTATCAACATTAAGATACACTCACTGTATGGGCAGCAGCTGAAAGTGGTGTTCTCTGTATAGGTGTTCTTTTATTAACACGGTTATCCCACAACACAATCTGTCCAGAATAGGTTCCACCTACAACTAGGTTAGGATGAAACTTGGCAAAACATGTCGACATCAATGCAGACTACAAAATAAAAATAAAATGCAGACTGAAATAAAATAATTTATATAAAAGTTTGTAAAGATTATGAAAATAAAATTACTTTTGTGTACTTATTGTATGCTGCTTTGAGATCAGGTGATCAGGAAGAGTGAGGAAGGCAGCCTGATTACAGACACCAGCCACAGTACTCTTTACAACAGAGCTCAACTTTAATAAAGTTTTGGGGTTTTCTTAACTTTTTACAGGCCAATTCAGACAATTTTCCTGTTCCTGAAAGAACTCTGAAGTCAAACATAAAGCTAACTCAAAAATGCATGCATGAAAAGTTTTATCATGGAAAATCATGGTCTCCAAAAGAAATGTCAATGAACATTGGTGATAACAATACATATCACAATTTAGATGCCTCAAAATGAACTGGCTAAGAGAAGAAGACAATCTGTTTACCTGACAATGGAAGATATATTCAGGGGTTGTCTTTTTAAATTTGGTGTTCCAGATCAAAGCAATACCATCAGGATCATGAGGAGAATCTTCATTTACATTATATGATGCTACAATTAATTCTGGATGCTACAATATATTAAAATTCAATCATTAGACTCAGAAATATATGAAAATAGTTAGCTACATGGGACAATATAGGAATGGTGTATGGACAGTAGCTCTGTACATTAGAATATTAAAATAATATGACATTATTTCTTTGGCTACAAAATGGCTACTATTTCAATCTTTCTGAGAAGTTATTATCATCTTTGATCTTATTTATCAGATCATTATCTACCTATTTCAACACAGTTTGTGAGTTACTTAAAAACACAGGTTATCCTTGTAAGAGAAATTCTTATGCACAATTCAAGTTTTATTATGAACAATGAAACAACTTAATGTTCTTACCTGTATGGACCAATCTAAACTGGTGACAGTACGATGTCTAGACCAACGGTCATCGTAAAATGTACGATTTAACTTCAATCTTTCCCCAGCTAATACATCACTACAAATAAAAAATTGAAAAATTAAAAATCAACAATTTCAAAAATAGTGAGATAATCCAACAAAGAGCAATATCAGGCTCTGGTAAGGATGATCAATGGTTTACGTTCTATTTTAAGATGCTTCAGAAAAGAATTGTCAGAAAAGAATTGTCAGAAAATTCTTGTCAACTTACTCATCTTTGTTTTCTCCGTCTCCTCCAGAATAATCCACCAAAATATCATAATTCTCAGCTAGAGCTCTTTCCACAATACGAGTTGTTTTTGTGAAAAATACATTAAATTCTGGATCATTTATTATCAGCTGTTTTTCTTCTTCTGATAACTCTCGAACTGGAAAAAATATTAAAACATTATTCATTATTATTTGTTTAATCAGTTGAAAGGGCTGAAATTTAGCAACCCATATGACTTTTTGCAAGAGAGTGGCATCAATTTACTCATAAATTATTTCCAACTGTCAAAGAATCTTTCACAAGCAGAGTCTACAGTAAACAGGGCTTCCTATAATCATAGATAGAAAACAAAGAAACTTACCAACTTCTTCTTTCTTTTCTTCTTCGGCTGTTTTTGGTTCGACCATTTTAACTTGTGGCATACCAGCGGATGGAGAATCAACACCAACATCCATAGAATCTGTATCACCCTCATCATCTGAACGACGGGGATCGTCATAAACAAGAACTGTATGTTAATAATTACTACAGGCTGTCCCATAACAATTTCATAGGGTACACTGGGGAAGATTGGGAGAGACTTTCTTTATAGGGGAGACACGGGGAGGTTGTCATTTCAGAGGAGTAAGTGTAAGATAAAACAACAACCAGAAGAGTGGGACTATCATCATCAAAAACTATGTATCAATAATTTACTCCATGCTTCAAGGGGAGAGTAAGGAGAGATTAGGAGTAGGGCCATCATTAACACGAACTTATTGTTACAATCACCAACATTGTTCAATTACCTTTTTATACTAGAATGTAAAGGAAAGTTTGTTATTGTCCATTAGGGGAGAGAGGGGAGAGGTTGTCATCAACAAGAACTGTAACTCAATAATTAACACAGGCTTCAAAAGGCTGTAAAACAGGAGAATTGGGAGAGGTTGTCCTGTAGGGGAGAGTGGGGAAATGTTGCCCTTCTCACACAAAATATACATGTCAGAGGAAGAAGTCTTAACTCAATTTTTGGGAAAACCTGAAAAAAATCTTTTTTACATGAGACTAAATATTATATTATAATAGCAAATATAAAATCTTATATCTAAAAATTAAATATCTTTAAATTCTAAATATGATAAGCCATAGCTGAATTGCAATAAAGCTTTTCCATGCATATTTAGTTGCTTAATTTTTCGCTCAAAAAGAAATCTCTTCATTCTATATTCTAAACATGAAATTAATGATGAAGGTCAAGCATGCAGAGTTCACAACATACACAGCTGATACAATCGAGCAAAGATATTAGAGCACATCCCAATCTGATTAAAACATAAACACGAGCAATCCACTTTAGTTTTAGGTAGTTTAAGTAGTAATGAACATGATATAAGACTGACTAACACAGCTCAGTCACTATTTATTCCACCCAAAAACAAAATAGACTACTCATGTTTATGTTTGATTCAAACCCAGATGTACAAAAAACATCATTATGCAACCATACAAATCACTTCTTTCTGGAATATCAAGTTTTAGACACAGGATCAAGTTTTTTAGGATGTATTTAATGTTACAGAAATAATACACATTGCAAAACAAATTTAACGTTTTTGAAAGGGGAGATAATCTTATTAGGGGGTACCAGAGTCCTGTGTCTAAAACCTTTTTCTTAGGGAACTCACAACATACATGCAAAGTGTGTCCTGGTACAATGGCTTAAAGTGAAATATCTAAACATGCTTATTCAATCAAGAACCAACATTTTAACACAATTCAATGCAAGTTTGAGCTCTGTGGTAGATCACAATGAAGTGATTCCAACTGTGACACCTTAATAATTTTGGCTATGTGCATTTTCCCAATGCACGCTGAATTGACATGACAGACTCTTTTTTTGAGTCTGAATCAAAAAACCATTAAGAGAGCAATACATTTCCAAAAAATTTGTAAGTAAGACAAAAAACAACAATTTTGTTGTAACAGTGCAATATTTTACATGTATTTGTTAAAATATTGGTTCCATGAAGCTAACTAATACAAATAGCTGTACAATATGTAATAAACAATATATTGAGAATTATTACTAATAAATTCCTAGGTTTTTATTCTGAGGCAGCGCATTATTGATTTGGAATTTAATTGATTTTCAGATTTTTCAAGAATTTTTGCGAAAATTGAAACAATTTATCAAAGCAATCAAAGAAAAAATAAATGAATAAATAAATAAATAAAATCAAAATAGCATAAGAATCAAATCCCAAAACCCATAAAATAAAGCCAACGCAAAATAAAGATACCAAAATATATAAAAAAAAAATCAAAACCCACAAAAAATAAACCAATAAAATCACAAGTTTATGCGAAAATCAAAAAAAATCACCACCAATAGGAAAATTAGAATGTTGATCTGATGTAATTTGAATTGAATTTTAGTTGTTCAGATTTACTGGTTCTCTAGTTAGTTATATCCACATGACAACACTCTGCTAATTGGCTTGCAATTAAATTTGTTCTTCTCCAAAAAAAAAATAAAAATTGCATGAGCACTGTCAATTACAAATGAAATGAAATTAAGATAACACATCCTACTTTTCTTAAATATTTCCCTACTGTTATGAGCTCTGTAACAAGCTTACCAGTATCACAGAAAGAGGAAACCAGATATACAACATACAAAAGAACGCAGAAATTGCATGTTGGATTGCAATAAAATCTAGACTGCATCTGTATCTGTCAGTTTATGGATTCATGTCCAGGGCTTGGACAAAGTTTGCATGCAGTGCCAGGCCTGTTTCAGTGTCAAACTGTCAAAGGATTCTTGATGATCACAGAGAGGGATGGTTTTTTTTTTGGAAAGATGATGTTGTGACAGGACTGCCAAGATATGGAAATTTTCGACTTTACAAAGGCTGGGAAACCTCTTCTAAATCTCTTTCAAATTATAATGTAATTTGACATTTGGAAACACTTTATTTTATTGAATTGATGTCATTTTCTAATTTATTTTCACACAAGATAAACATTTTGTCCTAAAAGTCGTTTAATACAAAGTGTCTGCACCCTCACTGATTTTGCTGGGCTTGGGGACTGTGATTACAATTTCCATAGATACAACTTAATTTTCTCTACTTGACCAACACTAAATGAGACTGTAAGAATATCAGTAGTTTAAACATCTTTCATCTACTTAGTTACAATCATAAATCATGGGTGAACACTGTAGTACACATCCAAGCTGCATTAGACACAATTATTCATTCAATGTAGATATAGCTTTACAGCAGAGAGTTATCAAATACTTATAGACTTAAAAGTGCCCTTTGTATGGGAACATACTATTTCTTTTGGTCAAATTCAAAAGATGCTTACTGAGACTAGAAACGTATGATATCTTTTCAGTTTTAGTTTAGACCATTCTTATAGACCATAGTTATTTAATCAGTATATATACAAGTATATGACTTACATACGTTAATTATGCAAACACACATTGACACCTGCTTGCTGTGTGACAGTATGTGGTCAAGAAAAAAAATAAAAATCTGGATAGTATTTGACATGGAGACAAGCTAAGAGTTTTGACTATAGTGGCTTTAACTAACTAGAGATACCTTATAATAATAATAATCATAATAATAATTAAAACAATAATAATAGTAATAATAATGATGTATAAATGCACCTTCCTTTAAGAAATTAGAGAGCACTGTAACTATGACAACTAGTACCAACAGAATTCAAACTAAAAACAGACTACTTCAAGCTCAAATCAAAATACATCCACATGCAAAATAAAATCTTATTGTTAAGGGAGTAGGGGTATTTCTGGACACTAAATATTTCTGTTTTTACTTTTAGTTCTTGAAATTCAAAAAAATTACATGTACTAATTCAACATTTCTTTTAAAGTTATCGCTCTATTTCATTTTAAATGTTGATTTGTTCATTTAAATAAAAGTTTGTTAAAAAAAAGAAATTCATATATAATGGACCTTCCTCATTAGATTTCATAAGCTTTATTCGAGTAAGATATGAAAAGCTGTCTAAATTAATTGTTAACATGCAAACTTCAGTATTTATCTGGAATACAGGGTAATTTTGTACTTATACCTATCACCCTGGATTAACTCACACATTCAAATTTTTTTCTCACTAACCAGTATTGCATCTGTATTTTGATGACATGCATTAGATCAATATGGATTAATATTATTAGAAACATTAGTAGATTGTGGTTAATACTCATTACTGTTGAATTTTCATTGCAGAATTTTATAAAAGTTATGCAATTTCAAAAGAATTTTGTTTTTTCAATTTATGTATGTTATAGATTATATGGCAGTACCTTAAAAATCTCAATATCACAATCCCTGTTTTAATCAAAAATTTTAATCAAATATATATTCTAATTGTATGACATGAAAATTCAACATTTTAGCTAAAAGCATGAAAAAAAATTCACAAGACATGGTTAAATACGTAAAAATAAAGCCTACTCTAGTAAAAGACAATACAAAAAATTATAACCAATCAAAAGAGAGCACAGAAATTACTGCAGTATTTTAATACCTTCGTCATCGTCATCAAAAAACTCATCGTCCCACTCAAGATGAGGCTGAGTAAACTTGGGTGATCCGAAACGCGGGGAGCCTTGATGGGATGAACCTGATAAAAACCATAGCGAAGTTAAAATTAAGGTTGGGATTCCTGAACAACAAGATCATCACTAATCTATCTCTATTGTGTTATATTCAAGTTTATCAAGTCATGTGCACGCTCGTGTCAACTTGACAAACCAAAATACCAATAAATATGAAATGTGGATTTTCTAAAAGGGATCTCTAAGTCGATGAAATTAATGAAACAATTCAGAATAAATTTTCAAAATCTATTCATCTTTCGATTGGATAAAAAAATAATCACATAACTTTTGATTTCAACATCATCTAAAAGCACCTTGATCAGGTGATACAAATTTGTATTTTGTAAAAGCCCTTCTGATTGGATAATGAGATCATGACATGAAAAGAGACAAAAGAACGTACCAAAGCGAGAACTTTCTGATTCAGAACGATCATCTACAAAATTTGAAAACAAAATGTGGATTTTTGGATTTAGTGTTTAGAATTGTTAGTGAAGGCCTTAATATGATTAGAAATTTCAGCCAAAATAAATATGATATTAGATGAGGTTATAATGTGATAGATGATTTTTTGGATGAACTGGTTGATTGAATGAAATTCAAAAATCTTCAAAAATAAATCAGAAACTTTTGACTGAAACAAAGTTCAAATGGATGATAATTGTGATGATGATGATGAATTCAAATCAACTTATTTTTGAGAAGTAAAATGCTACTACACATATTTCAGTATTATATGACTTTCGTTAACTCAGCAAATTTCAGTAACTGCAGATATTTTCAGACAACAATTAATTTTCCTCTAGATATTAAGTTAGTTTTTCTGTATGAGGAAGGTGCATTTACATTAAGGTATCATATTCCGTAAATCTCTTCTATAAAAACCAAAAATAAAAAAAAAGAAACCAAAAATAAAACCCTGCCTCCGTAAGCAACAACAATATCTAAAGGGAAATAACCCTAAATAAAAGGGAGATAACCCTATCTTTTAAGGGAGGCAACTTACCGTAATAATCCCAAGGGCCTCGAGCTTTGGGGGAGGAAAATAAAAAAGTTAGTAAAAAAATAGCAGCAGACAAAAATAACAATCCAAATAAGGCCAACAAAAATAGAGCACAAACCAACCGAGCTATGGTATAAATATTCGTAAAATATGGTACTTCATGCTTGGGGTTGTCAAATCACCGTCATCGAAGATAAACACAAATAACTACTTTCATTTTTCAAGCTCATGGTTGAACATAGATATTTAATATGCTCATCCATCATCCATGTACGATTCAAAATTAACACACTTTAAGCCCGCTGTTTTTTGTGGAATTGAATTTAATGTAAGATGATATCAAATCCATAAACCATGCAGACTGATCTTGTAAATGTTTATCTTTGATAATGCCCAAAAAATCAAAAGGTGTAGCTTTTATTGTGGTAAAACAAAATCATTTTAAAAAAGATCAAAACCCTGATACCAAAAAATTGCATTTTTCTTAATGAAGATGACATGTTCTAAAATATTTTTTTATTTTGGAATAATCTCATCATAATTTTGGTGCCAATAGATAAGATATTTCTTGTCCAGTCAAGATGTTCAATTTTCCACTTCATTGACAATCCTGCACCTTTCACTGTACAGGATTTTATCAGAAATGCCTGAACTATAAGCCAGTTCAGAGTTATATGTGCACATGTACAGCAGGCTACTCTTCTTCTTCGGTCTCGATTTAATATGGCAGTCTATGGCCAGCGATGAAAAAATTAATAAATATAAAGGGTTAACTACATAGACAGTTATCCATTTAGCATTTAGAACATTATCGAAAGCAAGTTTTCTCAGTTCATAGCATATATCACTATTGTATATGTAGCAAACCCTTAGTATAAGATCCTTCCCATAGACTGGCATGTTAGGTCTATGTTGTTTATCCCGAGGCGGAAGTAGGGAATAAGCGTGTTATACATGACCCCTGGTTTATTCAAAGGGCATGTTGTTTGACAACCCTGCATGCTGTAAATAAATGACATTAAACCATGCCATTAAAATATCTATTTCAACTTATTACATTTACATGCTGTTATTATCTTACAACACTTGTAACAATGTTAAATTATATGGTATTTCAGTTTGCAAATTTTTTTGAACTATACATTTCTAATAACTTTTGGAAATTAAATTTTTTCATTTTCTCAATTTTTAAATGTGTGATATTGGATGAAAATGGATTTTCAATTTTAGCAAAAAGCAGAAATCGATTTTTCAATTACAGTATTAAAATTTCAGGCATAGCATATGATACTTTCTATCAATATAAGATAGAACAATGTTGCAAGCATGGAATAGTTCTGAACAAATGAAAATCTTAAATGAGTTTAATGCTTCCAAAACATCAGCAGCATGAGGTGAGCTCTAGTCTAATAGTTTAATATCTTTTTACAAGTTTTGTGCTGAAGTTTGTTGACCTTATTTCATAATTTACAATCAAACATTTCATTACTCTGATTTTAAATATTTCTTTGAATTTCTTTTTCATAAAACATATATATAGTAATCATATCATAAAAACAAATTATGCCACTTTAAATATATAAATCAGTAAAAAAAGTTAGTTTGGTACCCAATAACATTTTAAAAAATTTGATATTAACAGGGGCTAAAATAAGGATTGGGTGAGTTAAATCCAATATCAATTGTACACCAGATATAACTTTAGCCTGGGATGAATATTTATGCAAATCCAGGTACAATTAATTGATTTTGAGTTTTCCCAGGGTCCTCTTAATTTGAGTTTTGCCAGATGTGCACAATTATTGTGTGAGACTATGAATAGAGTCTGATAAGGCAGTCAAGACACAGGGATGGGAATGGGATTATCAATAACCCTAATATATCTACAGGTATTATATCATGTTTCAATATCTTCATTCAGCATACAGAGAATGTTCAATACAGGTATGGTCATGCAAGTGAATACAGAATATTGATGGTGTTTGTGTTGATGCGATAGAAAAGTTTGTCAAAACCTAAAATGATAGAGGTTTTTGAAGAAGTAAGTCATAAGGTTTTCTATCCTTTGTATATGTTTTAGGACAACTTGTAGCTATAAAACATGCTTCAACTATACAACATGCAGGAAAGAATTTTCAAAATGTTTAGTACCGGTACTTGAACTTTTTCAAATGTAAGTCAAGAGTCAATTGCAAGGCATAGTCTACTACTAACTGAAATTTTTTTGTCAATTCAACTGGGATTTAAATCAATGTAAAAGTTGTATTGTGATAAAAACCTAGTAGCAAGAAAAGAAGTAAAATTGCAGAGTAAAGAACAGAGGTGCAAAAAGATTTTTAGTCTAATTAAGGTACAGATACAGTCAAAGTCAAGTCCTTTTTCACAAACTACCAGTTCTTTTTAAGTTAATTCTAGTATCATAAAGGCAACAAGTCCATAATTAAGTCCATTAATGTATTTCGGTTATTGTCAGGTACATGCAATACAAAACTTAGTCTAGCATAGAATATGAAATGAATGTTTCAGGCTGGTACAGGCAATAGAGACAACAAACAAGACAAGAACAATAGTTAACTTACTGGAAGCACGTCTTTTAGTCCCTGTATTTTATCACACAATATTAGTACGAAATAAAGAGAATAAGGGATGGGGTTGTTTAAAGAGTTAAGGGGTTATCACTGAGTCAGTTCCCTTGTAATCCCTTGTAAGTAACACCTTAGAAATTTAATTAATATGACTAACAAAACATATGAAATGGTAAAATGTTAGGATAGTAAAAAGAAATTTTCTAGCTTTTGTATGTGTATCAGGGACACATTCTATTTGTATCATTTTAATTCCTTGTCTATGGTTGCTTTAACTGCAAAACAGAAATGAAGTCACTATTCTAGCAAATAATGTTGAAGCCAATTGAAAAATTATGTCATGATCTTTCCAGAATCTGTTTCTCTCTGTTTCTTTCAAGAACCAAATATGTTGTTTGGGAAATAAGAATGAAGCAAATTGAAGCTATAAGTGTTCCAGATACACATACAATGATCAGAAAATCACCTTAAAATACTGGGGTATTCTAATGCAGTAAAACATGGACTTCTACTTGCCAGACTTATCAACAGAGTGCACACACTCCTGTTGGAATAGTCTAAAGATTACTGACACCAGACTATCACACCCAACATTCTTACTTTCTAGTCACAATTAAAATTCTAAACATTTGGTTGTCATATCATTAGTATAATAGTAAAAAAAATTCAACACATATTCATAGATTATTTAAACATCTACCGTATATACCCAAAAGTTTTAATTTGATCACAATATAATAAGTCCCAAAATATATCTGAGTTAATCTTTAAAGTCTTTATGGTAATTTTACCTTTTGATTCACCTTCATCATTGAACAAATCTACATAATCAGTAAATTAATATTTCTAGTCAGTAAATTAAACATCTTTTTAAAAATCATTTTAACTAAATCTTAGACTGAGTGAAACAAGAAATTAGAGAAAGAGGTTCAACTTAAAGACAATCTTAACTTTCAAATAAATGAAATTAAAGCACATCAGTTCTGACAAGAATATGTACTCCTTTTCAGTTTTTTGGTTTTTTTTTAGAGAATAAAAATTTTAATAAAGCAAATTATTTTATGTCCAAGGCCTATTTTGAAAGAGAAGGTCACCTCTGGTCAAAGTCATTTTTACAGAGAAAAATCGCTAAAGATTTAACCCATTGAGGAGTTTTGTTGATTTTCCAAATCGATAAAATGAAAGTAAAATTTAATAAAATGAAAGTAAATTAATACTGACCATCCTTATCAATGGGTTCTGCATTTATTGTTTGAGTCTCTTTACTGTATGAAACTTGTTCTCGGGGAGCTATACTTGTTTCATTTACTTTACATAAACTCAGCTTCACCTTCGCTCTGGAGCTGAAATCAAATGATTAATTATATTACGTATGTGGAATGGTATTCAGGGCAAACAAACTGAGCCATAGAGAGAAGTGGCATTAAGTGTTCATGAAAGCTGCCTTGCTTCACTCAGAGTTGGAAGTCCAAAAATACAAAAAAAAATTATACAGTCTACCAGAATTTCAAAGATCCAATGCGAGAAATGTAAAAAATGTAGGGGTTTTGTACTGGTTCAAAAACTCCAATTCCTCAAACTTAGCAACCTTACAAGAAAATGATTTAAGAAAAATTTACCTTGTAGAAACAGTATGCACAACTTGCTCCCCACCTGTTGGTGTTTTACTCACAGTTGTTTGAACTGAAGATGGTTCTGAAATTTTTAATTCATCATATTTTACTAAATATAGTCAATACATCTATTAATTTAAAGTTGTGCAGAAATTTTCTGCTAAGAAAAAAAAAAGATTTTTCTTGAACCTCTTTTAGTTATAAAATGAAATATATGACAATACATACAGGCTCACCATTTAAATCTATGCAAGTCAGATTATTAATCTTGAGGTAAATAGGTAAGTGTTATAATTCAATCCAGACCACAAATATATTTGTGTCATGTGACTGTGGCATCAAAAATGGGCTTGGCCGAGAAATCCTTTTACAAGCTAAACATAACAGACATTTACCTGGAATTCCCAAATCACGAAGCAAATCATCTGTTTCAGCACGTAGATCTTTCTGTACTTTAGGTTTTCCTTCTTCGCCCTGCAAATATGAACAGGACTTTTCAATAATAAAATAAACCATTTTATCTTTTTTCATGTGTTAGAATAAGATTCATTGCAACAAGGTGGTTTAGGTTGCAAGTTTAATGGTTTTAGACATTGATTCTACCATCAACCGATGAAGAATGGATAACAATGAGTTTGAACGTAGAGTGTCAAGGTAGATTTGTAGAGTAGATCTAGAAGAAATTGCTTTAGCTGCATGGTATTGATAAGCAATAATAAAAATCAATAGGCTAATTTATGCAACACAGCAAATAGAAAATATGCTGCCATTTACCTCAGTAGCCCCGGTTTTCTGTCGAACTTTCTCCTGTCTTTCTCGTCTCATTTGCTCCAGACGAGCTTTCTTTCGCTCTAGTTCGGCTTTTCGGTCAGCCATTTTTGCTTTATTTCTGCAAAACACAGCTAAATCTATTTGCAATTTACTCTCAGAATTTGTGATTCATTCTTCCGGAAGCTGTCAGTTTTCTGCGGGATGTAAATGACGTCATTTGAGACTGAGTTCGCTTTCTTCTGTTTGTATTTCACTTGCTACGAGTAAGTTGTAAAACTCGAACTGACACTAAATGATGTGCAATTTTCTGTGGTTAAACCTCATTAAACAAAATAAAACTGGGTTTATAATACCCTTTTTTCTTATCCCTTTTTTAGATTTAAAAAAAAATTGTAGGAATTCATGCTTTGGTTTATTACTACAAATGAAAATAATTAATGTTTGTCATCATCAAGAAAATATTTCTCGATGACCCAGACTTTTTACTGTTTGATTTTTAAGACTGGATAACCAAAATCATAACATTGGTTATAAAAGCTAATACATGTAAGTAACAGTATAGGTTTCTCTTGCTTGATTCAATAACTCATCGTTTGACTGTTGCCTTCTGGATTGACCCTGTAACTAATTGGTTGCCTTCTGGATTGACCCAGTAACTAATTGGTTGCACTCTATATTGGCTCAGTAACCGATTGGCCATTGGGTGTATTCTAGATTGACTCAGTAACCAATTAGTTGTACTCTAGATTGACTCAGTAACCGATTGGTTGTACTGTAGATTGACTCAGTAACCAATTGGTTGTACTGCAGTAGTCCTAGATTGACTCAGTAACCAATTGGTTGTACTCTAGATTGACTCAGTAACCAATTGGTTGTACTCTAGATTGACTCAATAACCAATTGATTGTTCTTTAGATTGACCCAATAACTAATTATCTCTGGATTGATCCAGAAATCCTTTACATTGTCCATTCTCTGTGTTTACCCAATAATTCCCTGTCTGGAATGACCCAGTAACTCATGGGTCACCTTGGCATTGACCAAGTTACCAGTGACTCATTGATCTTCCTCTGGATTGAAATACATTGGTCAACATCTTGCTTTACTCTGTAACCTATTAGCCCTCTGGATTGATCCAGAAACTCATATATTGATATTGGCTTATTTGTAGAAAAGAGAACCAATGCTGAATATTGACAGATGTCGGGTGTAACACAAGTGTTAAAGGTTCGAGCCCTGTATAAGGCCATTCTTAAGATACATCGGGGTCTACCACTAGAAATGAAGGCTCTAGGTGATCAATATGTTAAAGAAGAATTCAGACAACATCAAAATGCCTCAAGTGCTGAAGCAGACATTTTTATGCAGGAATGGACTGTAAGCATTTTCTACCTTTCAATGGTTAAAATAACTAATTGTATTTTATATACAGCAACACTTGTCACCAAATTTTGTCATGAAGCATTTGTCTTATAGGCCAGTCTTTTTTGTTTATACTTTATTGAATGGTTTTTAATTTATTATAGCCCTATTGTTTTATCCTATTGTAATAAACTTAACAAATTTTGTGAACTCTTCATATCATTGTTTTTTTATTTCAGAAATATTACATGACCTTGGCTAAACAGATTGGAAGGAGAAGGGCAAATGTGACAGTTGGACAGAACTTATCATCCGAGTTATTAAATTGCTTTAATGAAGAACAAATTGGACAATTAAATGAATTATTACAAGAAACACAAAAACCACGGGCAGATCCTTTCAGTGTTGATGATAAATCATGAGAATCTTTAGATATTTAAAAAATCAGATTTGGAGGCAATCAGATGTGATAACAGTTAGTTTTGAAACAACCTCATTAAGAAAGAAATTATGCCAACTAAACAGTGAATATGTGGAATCTACAAAAGGGTTGGAGGGCTGACAAACCCAATTACACAGTGACATCAGGTTTATGGAGAGTCAAGGATTTGAAAGTAGTGACATTTTAAAGATTTTTGAAAGTTTCAGACTTAGAATCAGTCAGAATTTTGGAAATGTCCGACTTGGCAAAAAGTCAAATTAGTAATGAGGGGTGCAGCATGACCATTTTGACTGGGTGTAAGAAGTTTTTCAGAGAAAAAAAGACTAACTAGCACTAAGTTATATGTAGGCCACATACGTACATACTAAATCCATTGTACACCCACTTCATTTCAAACAAATTTAAAAGATATAATTTATATATGCTTTTGCCTCAAAATATGTGTCAGACAGAATACACTAAATCATTTCTAGTTTCAATTTTCTTGGTAGAGAACCCTCTCAGCCGCTCCATTGTATGCTTGTTTCTATGGTGTTTCCACAACCACGAGTGACAGTTGTCGCGCCGCAGTCAGTATGCTCCCAACTTGTAACCCCAGTCTCGAATAACTGGTGCCGCCATATTGATCTGATAGCTTTTTGAGGGTTGTCGAAATCCATGGTTTTGGTTAGATACCATTAGGGTTTAGGTGGCAATTAAAAAAACTATTATTCTGAACTCTGACCTCAGTGTTAAGAGTGAAGAAGTTCCTAAAAACTTCTAAGTAAAGCACTGGCCAAGGTCACAAATAAAGAGATAAATGTTCAATACAAGATAAGGTGAAGTTAGCATAGTTAGTATTAAGTTAAAAAATAAACAACCACGAGTAATCTACAATAAACAAAAGTCTATAATATGAAAGTTTTCTTGTAACCAGTTCTGAAAGAAGAGAGTATGAATAGGTTCTGAAAAGATAAACATCTATAGTGTTAATCATTCTGACTTCGGGGTTAATCAATTAGTCTGTTTTAGATTAAGAACTACAACAAGAAGTTAATGGTGTCTAAGCGGGTGTAATTCCCGTCTTCAGTGATTTTAAACTTTTCCCGTCTGGAATCTGTAATGCCAGCAGTCTATCCTAATCTGGTTACAGAAAACCGCCAGCAGTCTATCTCCCAATCTGGTTACAGAAAACCGCGAACAGTCTATCTCCAAATCTAGTTACAGATAACCGGCAAGTATCTCTCAATCTGGTTACAGAAAACCGCCAGCAGTCTTATCTCCTTATCTGGTTACAGAAAACCGCCAACAGTCTTATCTGCCAATCTGGTTACAGAAAACTGCCAACAGTCTATCTCCCAATCTGTTTATAGAAAACTGCCAGCAGTCTATCCCCCAATCTGGTAACAGGAAACTGTCACACGTCTACCCCCCATCTGGTTACAGAAAACTGCTAGCAGATCATACCCCATATGGTAACAGAACAACTTCAAATAAAGCGAGATGGCCACGGTAGTTCGTATTTCTATCCCCCTAAATCTCTAAAAACTAAAAATCAACCCTCAATTTGCCTAATAACAGTTATTGTTAAAGCTAACAATGTTCTTAATAAAACCCACTTGAACACAGTGAATGGTTTGAATACTCGATATCGTCAACCTTTTCAATTACTGATCAAACCCATTCAATAACCATAACCCCTTCTCTTTACTTACTCTCCTTTTTTCACATTTTAATATACAGTTCCTTTTCAACAACAAATAAATTACCAATACGATCTCTTCATTATTGAACTTTATTAACTTTGGCGACACTATAAGCTTTGTTTGAATCCTCGGACGGTAGACTTTTGGACTAAAACATTCTTTGCTTTCCAATATTCTTCGGTTCATGTTCTTCATATGTGGCGAACGAAGACTTTTATTTGGATTTGATCAAATGCGTTTACATGGTTTAGTTTTGTGGATGTTTTAAAGCTATAGCATATAGTACTGTTTGGAAATGTGGTATGTTGACTATAAACGACCATTTAGTACCGTTAAGCCATTCTGTTAATTTTGAAACTAAAATAACACAGAAGAAAATGAACAGTTCCGTTACAGAGGATGCCTTAATCAGCCTAATAAGCCGGGATCCATCCAATCGATCCGAAATGGATATTGATTCCGTCGCTTACTGGTTACGAAGGCGTAGTCATCTGCTGTACAAGTTATCAAAGGGTAAGTAAGTACCGTATATTTCCATGTATAGTATCCTTAAAAGGGTCCGACAAACTGGGGGTCACAAAAAAAATTCGAATTTTTAGTAGTAGTAGTATGTGCAAATCTCCAGTTTCTGATGCCCGATTCTTTTCAGCATTAATTACAAACAACGTGCGGACGGATTTGATGACAGTTTCTTTATCAAAATTTCAGAGGTTCTCTATGACATTATTAAAAACTGTGGATACAAAAAGGTTTCTAAGGATGAAATTATCATTCGACAAGGAGAAGTTGGAGAAAGGTTTGTAAAAATCTGTAAAAATTTCTAGACATAATTGTACAAACATTTTACAATTTCAAAAGAAGGTCGTAAATCCATTTTTATGAATTGTATTAAAATAGTGTCTCATATATGATTTAAAACACAACATCAATTACAAATGTAAAAACAGTTGCTAATGTATTATAAATGCATTCATAAATGTGCACTTACATTCGGTAATACTTGGGAGTTTCTGTTAAAGCTGAATCTGTTGCGTAGAGCTAGCAGAGCTTTCACGGTACCGGTATATAGATCTTTTGGTGCAATTACAGAAGTATATTGTTTTGCAGCTTCTACATTCTAATAAATGGGAAAGCGTCAGTGTATACAGATGCCTATGAAGATATATCTATTGAGCGACAGCTGCTTTATATTAATGGTGCCTCGATGACACCAAGAGGACAAATGGTATCCTCTAAAGTTTCTGGAACAGGACATGAAAACTTTGAGACAGTAGACAGAACACAATTTGGAAAATATATGACATCGTTTGGTAACGGATGTATAATCTTTGTTGTTTTATTTTAAGTTCTAAAGGCAGTTTAGTGAATACTGCCATAACTATAATCTGGCCAACGTCAAAGGCCTGCTTGTGTCATCATGCAACGCAGACCATGCTTACTCTTTTCGAAACACTTGGTGGTACTTCTCTTTGGTGGTGTTCACTACCATTCAACTATTTCCCGATTTTACATTCTCTGTACGAAATTGTCTTGCTTGAACGGATTTTATCACTCGGTTTTACGCAGAATAAACTACTTCTTGTACTCAAAATATTTCCAATTTTAGAAAATGGTAGTAGTTTTGGTGAGATAGCTCTCATGAGTAAACGGAATGTTAGAAATGCCACTATTGTTGCAGATAATGTTTGTCATTTATTAGTGATATCAAGTGATTTATTCAGCCGATCATTAAAGGTAAACACATTATTAGAGAGCTGGGAAAAAGGCACACAAACAGAAAAATGAAGTACAATAGACATGCATCAAATAAACAAATAATACATAGCGGTCTGAAAAACCCCATTTGTCTTCTGTTGTTTTCAAGATGCCATTAAAGTCATCTGAACCTACACTCTTTGTGTTACCGATTTGATGGAAACAGTTCATTGAATTTGTGAATATTGTGCAGAGGCAAAGAAAATGCATAACTGTACAGAACGAAAGATTTATTCATTTTCCAACATTCAATTGCTTTTCTTAGTGCCAACAAGAGACAGAATTTAGAGAAAGATACAACTTCATTAAGGAGCATCCTTGGTTCAGCAAATGGAATTCACGCTTCAAACGATTACTTGAAATGTGTCTTCAGAAAGTTAGCTTCGGGTTTGGACAGCCAATAGTGTGTCAAGGTCGGCCAGTGGAAGGAATTCATTTCATATTAGGGTAAGGCGTTTTTTCCAGATCATTTTGAATGTAAAGTTGTCAAAAATACATTTTTGAGATACCATCGTAAGCAATCTCCCAAGCTTTTCAGCCGAACCTTTGGGCTCCCTGGAAATGACAACGGGATACCTTATCGGACAACAAGAGACCCTTAAGCTTCTGTTGATGATATTTCAATGTAAGTTGCTATTGAAACAACATTGGATAAGACAATTTCGTCTATTATTCATGGTATTTCGTTAAAGTAAGTGAGTAAGTGATCCCGACCATTCAGATTTATTCATTGCTCCATCAGTATATTTAAGGCTCAGCACCATGAATCTAAAGGACAGATTTAGTAGATTCTGTTACCAAATGCTCATCGCCAGGAATGTGGTATTGAATTATTAAACTCGATACATGTCATTATTTTTTCAGAGGTCAAGCAATTGTTACTGTAGAACCTCAACGTCACCATCTTCAATATCCTAAGCTGATGAATGATGTTAAGCGGTAAGAAATGCTATGGCTTTATTGTCCATTAGACAGCTTTCCAAAATCAACCAAAGAATTGCATGCCGCTACATCTGCTTCTCTCCGAAGCCTGGATGTATTCCCAGCCTTATAATTCAGTCAGACTTGGTACTTTTTGGAATTAATATGGGAAGCATTGTAGACTGCTATTCCGATGGAAATGTTGCTTTTACATAGTGTGCATGATATATCTCAACTTCTAAATCTTGATAACAGGCAACGTAATATCCATTCAGCATTTTAATTTCACTTTTCTTATATATAGAGGTCGCCAACACCGATTTGAGTGGAAAAATGGTGTTATTGAGAAAACAATAAAAGGAAATACTGATGTTTGTGTATTAGGTCCTGGACAAATCATAGGTAAGAAGATAATATCACCATCTTTCAAATCACTCTCATTAATTATTTCAGACCATGTCATGTCTTCTAATTCAGAATGACATGAAATTGGTGGTTCTGATCGCACGTTTTGTAGAACCTCATGTTACCAAATATGGTCTAAAGCACTAATTATGTTAAAGAAAGTTAATTTGTAATACATTGATCCAATGAATAAATTAAAATAGTAATTGACTACACTATTGAAGCCAATGAATTGCACATTGAGTTAAAGGGATTGTAAGTAGGTTTTCTGAATTTTTACAACCCCTTTAAATGTTGACATGGTATAATTCCAGGAGATGTGGAACTGATTTGTGAACTTCCAACAAACATTGCCTCAGTATCAGCCTCATCGAAAACAGAAACATTTTTTCTGAGTTATAAGAACTGCGACAGAATATTTGTTGGAAAAGTTGGTTTCACAGAAACTTTCAGCTCGAAGTGAAGCACATGGTGACACCATTCCATTATTCAAAATACTTTGTGAGAAATTAAAACGCAGACCTGTCAATAAAGTTTATAATGAAAAGAATTTGTTGAGAGAAGCAGGTGCTCGTTTTGATCAAAGTCAAATCAAAGAAAAAGACCAGAAACGTTTAGTTACACTTTTCTTGAACAATCAGTCGGCATTATCCTCCCCATACACAGTAGACTCGATTTTTTATAGGTACAGGTCGTTCGTGAAGAATAAGCAGATAATGCGCAACACGAATCGGACGTTAAAGAGGTTTGATGACATATTGTGTCCCAAAGGTCGTCTTCCGAGAAGCGTGTCTCAAATAAAGAACAATGTATTTGCACAACAGAAGCTCCTCGGTCGACCAGTTACTGCATCAGGTACAGATATGGACCCGGAAATGAATAGATCTGTAATTTCGAGGTCAAGGACGTTATTAAGGTCGAAGAGTGATTTAGGAGGAGTACCAGAATCTTCACATTGTTCATCGGCTGGAATAACCCAAACGGGGCAATCGATGTTTAATCCGTTGTCGCATCGAACTTTTGACAAGATTCAAAATATATCCACAAAACTCAGTTACCTACAAGAATCAAAATTAGAGATGAGAGCAAAAGAAACGAGAGCTTTACTGGCAAAAGAGAATTTTGTGAGGAGACTGAAGCAAATTCAAGACTCTGGTGAAGACACTGAAGATGTAAGAGCTTTTATTATATAACCATTGCTTTTAACGTAAAATTTTGAATTCAGACCATTCCCACAATGTGAAATTCTCAAGTTGAACGCGACTGATCTTCATTAGCCCAATCAGGTGCAGAAAACTGAGATGTAAAACTCCATCACATTTAATTTAGTTTTTTTTTAAAGAAAATATGGCGGATAACGTTACATATATCGAATTGCATTTTAACTCTTCACCACGATCGGATAAATGTAAATTGGACTCTTGTTATGTTCACATGTACGGCTTAAATCCAACGAGCAGCTCTCGGTCCTCATGATTTATTGGGCTACTTTAAGCAAAAATAGTACATCATGGGATAACAATCGTCAAATCAATATTAAGGTGAAGCCCATTCCTTTGTGGCGAAGCTTCAGCCAGATGGAATATCGAATCAGTTATTTGTAAAAGTTACGTCACTTCGAATAGAAGGTTAACCGGAAGTGATCATGGTTTTCATTCATAAATTTCCAGCGCGAGTCTCTGCTCGTGAGATTTTTGTTAGACTTTGATCTATATGATGAATTGGTATTCTATTGTCTGATGTATCTATGTTTCAAGTTGGTCGACGTTTGTGAATTTGGTAGCGTCCCGGTCGCTTGGGACGAAGAAGTCACTGACAGTCAATTATGCAGCCTCGAAAGAAAACTGAAAGAGTTTTGTAGTGTTATATCGAAGGATGATCACAAACCAAATTCAATACAAATACAGAATTTTAAACGATTTAATATACAGGTAAGATGTTGAAACGTTTAGTTCATTCATTTATCAACACTTTCAAAACAATTATCTGATATTTCTACAATGGTTTAATTCAAATGTGGAGTTGAAGCTATCAACAAGCAGATATTCAAAATCAAGAAATATATAGCGAGAACCGTCTGAAATAGCAAGAAACTTGACAAACAGAATAAATAAACGTTCGTGTTAGGCTGCCAATATATTTAGGGTTATTTTTATTATTCAAAGGAATGTATAATTGGTTACGCCTAACAAATGGTGGTCGTGAGTCTAATCTTGGTCATAGTGTGAAAGAGGAGAAGGATCTAAGTGAATCTGAGTTGTACAAATGGTTGCTGCTTTCTTTTTTCTTTCTTTAGATCACACCAACTACATGTGTATCCATTTTTTCTATTTTTAGAATTCTTCGGATATTCCTCAACCTGGTGGAACTGTCCTAGTGGAATGCAGACCGTGTCTACAGACATTGGATAATGTTCAACTAACCAATCATTCTCATACTCATCATTATATCCTCAATAAATAGAAAATGTTAACCAAAGGGACATTTATTAAATCCGATTAAAATTATATTACAATTATTTTGTTCCTTTACTGTGATATTTAAATAAGACTGTGTGTACTCTATGGTAGATTTTGATGGCAACTTCGACTTATTTCTTCAATGCCTGATTACAAGATTAAACATCAGATCAATGGGCTTTATTTTTAAATTTTGAATTATGTAGGTTGGCTGATTCTTTATTTAGGCTAGGCATGCCCTTGTCCTAATCTGCAACACGGCATTATATCGTGTCTCTAACGAAGAATCGATTTCCTCTATAATTTACATAATAATTTCACTGATGACCGATAAGAGACCTATATTTTTAGCGGATCTTGTTCACCTGAAGGTTCTTATCTGTGGTTTTATCAGGGATCGACCGGGTGTACAGGTTCGTTATTTTTTTATTCTCGGTTCTGTTCTTATTCAAAAATTGTTATTGAATAAATCACAAACGGAATAATATCTCCAATGTTTCTGAATATATTTGTTAAGAATATGATACATACAAAATCATTTCTAAATGGTCTGACATTTTAAAATCGCTCACTGGTGCAAGATTATAAAACGTATGTGATGGTACTGTCCTATGGTGTGTTTTCAATTGACTCTTGTGTAGTGGCTCAACTATCATAGGGGTCGTTTGAAAAAAGTCCACTTAAGGGGGACCCACCCCCAGAAAATATCCAGAAGAGCATCTCTCTCAAAAAAAAGGCCGTGGAGAGGCCACAATCCACTCCAGCTCACGGGCCCCTACTCATCTAGTTAAGCCATTGGATGGATATATGTATATAGTTATTGATCAGTTAACAGAAGTAACTTATCAGCACATGTTTTTTTATCTTGTATTTAGGAAAAATGGGAAAACTATCAATTGCTCATCTCATACTGTTCGTGACGGCCGTTGCTACTGGTAGTCCGAAAAAATATGTAGACAAGGTCTTACTAGTCTCAATGGATGGATTTCGTTGGGATTACCTTGACAAGATGAATACGCCACATTTTGATTATTTGGCCGATCATGGCGTGAAAGTGAAATACGTTAACAACACCTTCATAACAGAAACGTTCCCTTGCCATTACTCCATAGCAACAGGTGATATATTTATGTTTGGAATTCAGATTTCCATGGCAAAATCACAGTGACCTTGACTCTTACCTGCTTACCAAGGCCAATAAACGATAAACAAGGCTCCGCGTGATTAAAAATCTATCGACAGTAAATAATCCAAGCATATGCTAATACTACTTCTCTGGCATGGTATTGGTTTTCTTGGAAGGGAGGGTTTGATTCTCCTTGATTCAGGTTTAGGATGGGGCAAATACTTCAATTAGAAGACTCCATTCATATTGCTTGAACTATTGAAAACCTTAACTGCGACGTGGGGGTTTCTGCTGTTAGATGTTTCTGCTCTGTTTCTGCTCTGCTCTGTTTCTGATTGTTTTAAATCTTTCTTTACTTTGACTTCGTGCCCCAAAGCATTATGATAATCCACTGGATTTATATTTACTTTAGGTCTGTATGAGGAAAACCATGGTATCGTTGCCAATGAAATGTATGATCCGGTCTTTGATGCAAACTTCACTATGGCGAACCATGAACCTAGATGGTGGGAAGGTGGAGAACCAATCTGGATAACTGCAACTAAACAATCTGTTAAATCTGCAACCTATTTCTGGCCCGGTAGCGAAGTTGCTATACATGGTGTCCGACCTGCCATCTGGAAACTATACAACCAATCTGTACTTTTTGAAAAAAGAATTGAAACGGTAAGATAAATGAACATACCATAAGAGACGAATTTAATTAACAAGACGAAGACGATGGGCAGGGCAAAGAAGCAAAGCGTAACCCAGCAACAGAGAATGTAGTAACAATATAGCAAAGCATACTAAAAATGGTTGATGCACTGCTTATAGTGGCGCAGGGTTGTGATGGCATAGTTGTAGTGGATAGCAGCTTGGCTTAAACTGACAGTGCGTTGCATAGTTGTAGTATGTAACAGCATGTTTTAATGGGACAGAGTGAAGCATAATTATGGTTGAGCTTGGTAAAGTAACATAGCATAGCAAATTAGACCATAGAACTATAATATTACAGTTCTATGATTAGACCAACTTTCGTCCCGTTTTTTGTTAGCTTTTATTTTTGAGATAGCCACTTCAGTTAGGGTCTAAAGACGGGCCTGTTAACCATTCGTCAAAATAAACTTTTGACCTAATCTGATGACATCTGCTTTAACCAATTAAATTCCAATCCCTCACAAACTGCCAGCGCTGGAGAGGGTAGAAATTTGAAGAGTTAAATCAGAGTTAGATCAAAAATCTATTTAGAAGGACTCTAAAAGGTCCGTCTTTAGACCTTAAATGAAGTGCTTATATTAAAAACAAAAGCTAATAAAAAACAAGACTTGTCTATTTCCCGATGCTTTCAGGTCATAGATTGGTTCTTAAATCAAGATGTGAAACTAGCAACCTTGTATTTCCATGAACCTGACCATACTGGACATGTATACGGTCCCTATTCAGATGAGATGAAAGCGCAAGTAAAATATATGGATAGCGTGTTAGGTTATATGATGGTGAAACTAAAAGCTGCTGGTCTGTTCGATTCAGTCAATCTTATCCTAACAAGTGATCATGGTATGACAACTGTTGACACCACAAAAAGAGTGAGTATAATCTGAATTCTCTTGGTCCGACTAAAAACCATAAAGAGATAATAATACCGACTGCGGCCATACCTACTTGCGACCTCCCGACAAGAGTCTAGCTTCTGTCAAGATTATAGATATGGCCGCAACCAGATTATATATTGAAAATATCATGTGTCATACAATGGCATTATAGGGATTTACAATGAGTAAGGTGAAACGTATATCTTGGACAGAGAGGTGTACCGTGTCAAATCAAGTGTCCATTTGTATCACTAATTCATTGTTCACTTTTTGACAAAATTTACGGTTTAATTTCAAAAGATTCAAAATTTCATTGTAGTTGATAGACGTGCGAGACTGGGTCAACCAGACTTTGATTAAAATGATACCTAAAGAGGGTCCAGTCATTCACATCATTCCAGAAGACGGTGAAATAGATACGGTTTACCAGATTCTTGAACAACAAAAACAAGACATGCATATGACGGTATATAAAAAGGAAGACATCCCCGAGAAATTCCACTATAAGGACAACAGACGTATACCTCCTATAATCGCCATGGCAGATGAAGGCTGGTTACTGATGAAGGTAATATCATAAATGATTTTTCTGTAGTTGCACTTGGTGGTCATATTAAAGAGATTGTAAAGAGGTTTTCTAAACCTTGTATGTTTATTTTGGAAACTGATAGCATCGACTTGCGCCATTTCCAATCAGACGTCTGTAGCTCATGCATTTCCACTTAAACTGAGCGTTTAATGGAATTGGTCCTATATATTATGAGCAACCTGTGGGATCGAGATAAAACCAAACGCTTAATTTTTGTTTTTCGAACAAAACACTTTATGGATATAAGGACAAGAACCCTTCATGAGAATGTTCACTCAATATTTATTCATTGAATTACAGAGGTACTATTATAGGTTCCAAGATACAAAAATATACTCTTTTTTTCAGGATAAAAAAAAGTACTCTCACTACCATCCCCATGGTTCTCACGGTTACAGTAATGAATATATGTCCATGAAACCAATATTTTTGGCTCATGGGCCCAATTTCAAGGAGAATCACCGACTGACTTCCATTGAGAGCGTAGATATATATCCATTGATCTGTGAATTATTGGGAATAAACCCAGCACCCAATAACGGTAGTCTTAGTAATACTATGTCCATGTTAAAATCCGATGCTAACATCATTGGTTAATAAATTATATGAAACGTTGATGGTCTTGTTCATGGTTCGCATTACTTCCCTTTAACTATGCCCAGAATGCGTTGAAACTCCTCTAATGTTGGTCACTAGTTACAATATCATTTTCTTCTTCTATTCCTCTTGGACGCCATGATGTCCGCTTTGATGAGAAAACGTTGAGTGTGGATCGGGGTGCTTCTTCGACTTCATCCATGTATTCTTCTGTCAGTTCCTTTCTGAAGTGAGAAGCGGAGTGCTCATAGAGCTTTATCTGTGTCATGTACTGTGATTATTCTGTGACGATCAACGGGGCTAGGTGTAGATTCTCAACGATCGTCATATCTACAGAAGATTAGGTACTCCTTCGATGTGGTTTTCAGATAAAAGAAAGTGCTCTTTATATCATGTTCAGTCGAACTTTTATCAACTAGCATCTCGTAAATGCGCACCAATCACACACTTTTAAAAGTTGGTATGCATTAACCTACACAATAATGAATAGGAAGAAATGACAAAATTGAAAAACTGGATTGGTTAAAACAAATAGAATTGGGGAAAATGGGATAGAAAGTCGTCATGACGAGTAGATCAGCCACGAAACGCTGATCTGCATTTTTATCCGATTGCTTTGATTTTTTGATAAAAAAAATAACGGTGCACAGCTTTAAAATTATAGTACAATACAGACTTGTATTTTAACAAATAAAATTATGCCGGCGACAGACAAATAAAAATTCAACTTCCTACATAAAATTATACTAAATTGATAAATATGCATTGCCTCGGGTGAGAATAGAGTGCTCTTTAATTGATAGTTATGCACAAACTATAAATAACTTTAAACGCGGCTGGTTTATATACCTTGTTGAAAAATCCATTAATTTTATTGCAGTAGTTTGGTGACAAAAATTCAATAATAAGAACTTTTTACATTTAAAGGGACAAGTTTGTCATTCGTTTTTCCAGACTTATCCGCATTTTGGAACTAAATAACGACATATAGAAAATTGAAATCCCCAGTTTGGGATATCTTTGAAGGGATTGGGCGAATTTCGTAGATTTTTAGTACTTCTGATGACTATTTACATACATTCAAGACCCAAATCAAATCCCGATGTTGGCTAGCCCCTTTAGGTAAATAGGACCTCGAGAATATACACATTGCTGTTCACCAGTTGGTCACTTTTAAAGACTCTCATGAAATTCAATATAAGCCTCCAATGTGCTTGGCATAACGTTGATGTTGCCATTATAAATATGGTGGATGTCATTTGGTGCTAAAGTTATGGCCATATCTTTAAAATAATAATCCATTCAGTCATTGACCTAAAATGTACGGAGTTTTATAGCCTTTTATTGAAAAATTATTCATAGATTTTAACACTAGTCAATATAGCGGAATTAAATTAACATAACAAAAATTCGTTTCCTGATTACTTTGATTTTCCAAATTTTTGAAAATTTACATAAATATCGTATCTTTTACTTCATAGTGTGATCTAAATATTTCAAAATTTCACTTTTTTATCAATTGATTCTAAGTAACTGATACATAAAGACAGTTCTTATTGAACTCATTGACCTGGAGCGAGTACCCTGCCTCAAGGTCGTGATGTATGGCAATAGGCCATGATGATTAAAATTCAAGTATTTCAAACATAACAAAGGAAACACTTGAGGATAATTGATTATATTTCCTGAGTTTATTTCCTTGACTTTTATCTTTCTTATATAACCTTGACTCTATACTCTGTACTTAGCTGACTGGACATTCCTCATCTATACTGCTTGGATTCTTTCAGTAACCTACCAATAGCGCAAATCTACATAGTACACAAAATGGGATTTGAATGCAATTATTGGATGCTAATGACACGGTAGCTTGCACGATACCTCACTGAACTCCCAAGGTCTTATATTTGGATTCAATAAGGGTTCTTAAAAAGGCAACATTACCATCATAGCGTATATAAGCAATTATAGATCAGACTGACTTGCATTGTGAACACTGCTGGTAGTACGGATTGCACAGGATTCTTGCTGCTAAACTGAACATTCAAATCTTACTGTATTTAGATACAACCTATTTCTGTCGACAGGAATCGACCAAAATTGTGCCCAATGCGTTCATTTGTCCTATTTAATGAGAACATACATTGTCCATGCCCATAGCCAGACTTGGTGTATGGTGTTTAGTTGCAGTATTGGAATTATTATTATATTGCTCCCCGTAGCTACGGGCCTTTGGCAAAAGAAGCTTGTTAAAATTACTTTTAAGCAATTTGGTCCGCATCTTTGGCAGCAGTTTCCGTACATCTGAATTTATCACGGTGGATCGTTTGTTTTTCTCCGTCACAAGTAAAACCTAAAGGTTTGTACCAATTCACCAATAATGTGACACCGTTAAACGAAAAAGAAAAAATCGCATGTCACGTCAGTCATTTTGTCAATCTAAATATACAAACTAATCATTATCATACAAGTAAAAAAAGTCACATATATTTTTTTAACCTGAGTAAAATCGAGATGGGAGTTTACGCTTGTCCCTTTTATAGATGGAAGTCTGTATTTGCATAAAGAAATTTACTTAACATAAAATATTTAATATACTGTGAAAACATCGAGTAATGATACAAAGGGTTTAATCTAATTCTGTTTATTATGCATACCCATCAAGCGTAGCATACCTGTCACCCCCGTTTATTTTTAATGGATTGATCGAAATGTATGAATGAACGATGAATGTTTGGGTGACTGAATGCAGACGGTTGGTGACATCAGACAACAGTTTTTCGTTACAAATTGCTGATTGGATAATTCACTGTGCTATATTAGCCACTATCTCTACAGGGCATTATCACCGATATTACCCGCTTATCTTAAAGGATTATCTCGTAATATTTTTTTTAAAATCATATCCTCATTAGTTTTAACTTCTGTGACATTGAAATTCATAAAATAAAAATCCGAGTAATTTTAAACAGATTAAAAGTGTGGTAGAGTGCAAAAGTGTTGTAGTATAAAATTTAAAGGGATTAGCAGTTAAGGATTAAACTATTAGAGATAAGGTAAGAGTTTTTGAACTTGTCGTTGAAGCTGGTCGTTGAAGTTGACATGGGACAATAAACCGAACCATCAGGAAACCTAAGATAAAATCACGAACTGGAAAGGTCTTTAAGGAGAAGGGAGGTAATGCAATCTACCAAGGATCCTGAAAAGAGTTATTAAACTGAAAAAGTTTGAAAACCCCTGTGTTAGAAACTTTAGAGACAGTATTTTTAATATTCCTTCATAATACAATACTTTTCATTATTAAACCTAAATAAGCAAAGAACCCAATTCAAGGGATTTAGCCGTTGAAATATTTGCTATCCAAGCTGATTTATCTCGATTTCAGTCATCCGAACCACTTTTCAACATAACATGTCTACATCCAATTCGTCTACAATTCATTAACATATTAACAGTGGTAAAGACACTGTTTTTGGAGATGTGCATGAAGAATGTTACTTTAATTGATTTTGTGAACGCCGAGAGTCATACGAACCTATAAAATTTGAAAGTTTAAAACAGCCTTACTTATAGGTAATATTATCCTTACATAGGATATGAACACTTACACTCTCGTGTGAATTAAAAACACTTCAAACCCTTATTTAAATAACATTGATCTGAGAATATATATTATTGAAATGTTTTCGTCTTTTTGTTGATGTGAAATTAAAATATTTTGAAAAGCAACTAATTCAGAATGATTTCATGTTGGAGTATGAAGTTGAGATCAATACTCAGACTTCGTATACCTTTTGATGTGTGTAACATCTTTTTTCATTCACTCTTCGCTAACGTCTGTGAACCTGGATGTTTTTGAGACCTGGGTGGCCATACCACTGTACATCCTTCAGACCCCCCCCCCCCTCTCAACTCACAATGTTGCAACCATCGCTTGCATTTACACCTGACAGTCTTTGTGTACTGCTAAATCCTGAAGCTGTAACCACGTTCTGTGGCAGCACCCTGTCACACATGAATCTGTTTTTTGATTGTGTGTGCTGTAAGATGTGAAACTTTATGATGATTCGAGACATTTCAATGTAAATATCTCTCCAAACCTATTGCAGCACCCCAAATCTAAAAGTTTTTATTAATAAAGTAGGCCCATGTTGATAATGGAGAAACCTTCAAAATGGATGAATTGATTATTGGCTGGAACTTATAAGGATAAAGATGCAAGTTTGGTGTTACAATTTGCCGGATTTCGGTACTTTAGGGTGGTTGTCTGAAGGGCATTGGAGGTTAACGCATGAAATTAATATAACTTTGAAGTAGAATGACTGTTTAAGTCAGATCGAGCCCCGAATTCAATGAGCCCACACCTGTCTCGTCAAGGTTGGTTGTAAAACATAATATATATTGTAACAATGTGCTTTATCTATCAAACCCCAGACATAAGTTACTATATATTGGTATGATTTGTTTAAACTTCCTGACGTTCTTGGTTTATGAAAATTGAAAACATCAAAGGTCTGATAAGTAAGGGAGAGTTTTGGTCTTCGATAAAACCTCATGATTTTGTTATCCATTTTGAGGAATTAAGAGTTTCAACCCGAACTTTCCACAGATCCAAGCAATGAACCGATGGAGATTGCTATTTTGGGGAAATTCAATGCAAAAACAGCATCCTGAGTTTATCCAAATGGCTTCGAAAAAAGCGGTTAATTTAGCCCAATAAAAAGTTGCCCTACTCATATATGATTCAATCATTTTGTGTATGTGTTCATATTTACAAAACAAAACGTTAAAATGGCTACCTACAAGCGTGATGATTGGCTGGTTTCAAAATCACGTGACATTATTAATATTACTTTTATCAGTCTCTAATAAGAGATTTGCCTGCTAAAGGGAAACACGGTAAAAATGCGTAATAGAGACGATGGCATCCATTATGGTACGGAATGTTGACTCGTCCGCAACTCTCTATATCATAATGTGTTTGTGATTGGTAGCTTCTC